ATTTGCCTTTGAGTCATCTCCTGACATTTTTGTGGCTAATACTATTTTCAGAACTTATTGCTAAGACATTGCACAACTTTCCCAAAGTCTTTCTGTCCTTTTATTTATTTTTTAAAATGTATTTTGTGAAACTGAAATGTCTTCCGTTTGATTCCTGGTTTATCCAGCTGTAGTCAAAATGTGGTTGGGAAATTCTGGGAGTTGAAGTCTTAATCATCTTAAAGTTGCTAAGGTTGAGAAACACTTGCTGGCTGAGGAATTCTGGGAGTTGAAGTCCACAAGTTTTAAAGTGGCCAAGATTGGAGACCCCTGGTTTAATGGATCAACATCACATAAGCTACTCCTGGTTAATATCCAGGTTCTCTAAGGAGGCCATGGTGGCAATGAAACTATGATACTCCCAATTTGCTGAACCAAAATCCCCATCTTTCTCCCCTACCAATTAACCATTCTTCCAAGAAATTGGAAATTGGAAAACCAACATTACCTAAACTGTCCATCTTCTGAGCACTGAGGGATATAGTCTTCTCCATCATGAAAAGCCTTCTCTCTCTGAAGTTCACATGGACGAAGAGGCTGGGTTTCAGCCTCATACTCTACATTCGGAAGAAGACAAAGTTATTGCAGCAAATTCCTTCTTCATATCCTAACCTCCCTTTGTTCTGTTTCATTTTTTATCCCAAGGACTTGGAAAAGACAGAGAAGAGCTACAAAGATAATCAGGGGACTGGAGGCTAAAAGATATGAAGAATGGTTGCTAGAATTGGGTATGTCTAGTTTAATGAAGAGAAGAAGGACTTGGGGAGACATGATAGCAGTGTTCCAGTATCTCAGGGGTTGCCACAAAGAAGAGGGAGTCAAGCTATTCTCCAAAGCACCTAAAGGAAGAACAAGGAGCAATGGATGGAAACTAACCAAGGAGGGAAGCAACCTAGAACTAAGGAGAAACTTCCTGACAGTTAGAACAATTAATCAGTGCTCCAACACTGGAAGTGTTTAAGAAGAGATTGGGCAGCCATTTGTCTGAAATGGTAGAAGGCTGTGTTGTGGGGACCCAGGACAGTACTTTGCACCACTCAGGTGACCCTGAGGACACAGAAAAACTCTAGGAGGCCTCAACGACTCCCTAAAACAGGGGTTCTCAACCTCGGCAACTTTAAGACTTGTGGACTTCAACTCCCAGAATTCTGGGAGTTGAAGTCCACAAGTCTTAAAGTTGCCGAGGTTGAGAACCCCTGCAAGTCTAAAAGAATGCAAATGACCAGCTGTCTGAAAGGAGTATAAATCCTTCCATTCCCCACCCTCTGGTCAGAGCTGAAGAAGCTTCTTGGATGAGAAGTAAAACGTTTTTGAAAAAAAACAAGGCAGTCCAGTTGCCTCATGAAAAAGCATCTTTGGGACAACCATGATCCGGATGGCTGAAAATCTCCATAGACATCTCTCAAGTGGCGAGTGTGGTATTCTTATATTAATTGGCTCTTTGGGTCTTAATCACAAAACTCGCTTACCAAGATGCTGGACCAGATGATAACTATGGTCCTTTCCAATTCTACGTTTCTATTAGTTTTATTCTAAAAGCAGACACCTGAAAACAAAGAGATGCCTATTTACTTACCAAAGATGCTGGTCAGGGCTTTATCGGTAAAGCAAAGGCAGGTGATGAAGAGCAAGGCCCTCATTTTGGGATGTAGGTGGATTGTCTCCCTTGCGAGGGAAAGGCATCCAACCTGCACTCTGGGGAAGTTCTCGGCCAGTATTTTATAGCTGCTGCTGCCCCTCAAATAACTTTTCACTTATGAAATGGAAGACTGGTCTCTCAAGGGAGTTAATGACGCAGGCTGCTTCAAGAGCCATTGTGTCAGGTCACGCAATTACCCATTTCAGTGGCTTTGCTTTTTCTTTCTCACTTGCCCTTCTAAAGGTGAGATAGAAATATATTTTTTTAAATATTTCAAAATATTTAAATACGGTATAAAGGTAGTCCTCCTTAGAGTCCAAAATTTTCCATTACAAAGCAAGATCGTGGTGAGGAGAGGGTCGAAGCATTTTACGACTTTTCTTGCCACCGTTGTTCAATAAATCACTGCAGTTGCTCAATTAGTAACACAGTTGTTAAGTAAATCTGGCTCACCCATTGACTGTGCTTGTCTCAAGGTTATAAAAGAGGATCACATGATCCCGGGACAATGCAACCGTTCTAAGTACATGACAGTTGCCAAGCATCTGAATTTTGATCACGTGACCCTGGGGATGCTGCAGTGGTCATTCAGTGTTATTGTAACTTTTGAACAGTCACTAAATGAATGGTGTAGGTTAAGGACTACCTACACATATTAGACCAACAAATGCATATTTACCTATATAAGTACGAGCATGCCTACCCTATCTATAAGAAGAGTGGCAGAACCTGGGGGCGGAGTTAAACAAGGGATTAGTCTAGAATCCCTATATAGTCACAAGCAAACTAAGTTCAACCTCCCTTGAATTCCATGGACCCCTATCTAACTCCAAGCAGGTGCTCACCTTTGTTTGAGAAGATTCCTGTGCGTAGGCATAATTAGCAATAAATCATTTTAATTAGACCTTCATGTGTGGACTTGATCTTTAGTACCAGACACTATCTGACCTGGGTAGATGTCCTTAGGGGAAGGCAGCCCTGCAGGTATAATGCTTTAAAGGCAATGGTCAGCCCCTTGGAATTCAGTGCAGCTCATGCAATAGAGGTGTTACGTGGACAAACCTTGGGGGCCCCCATTACTGTGCACACTGGTGCATTCTAGATTAGTTGAAGTTTCCAGGAGGTCTTCAAGGGTAGGCCCCATGTAGAGCACGTTGCAGTAAATTAAGATGGGAGATGACCAAGGCATGTGCAATGGTGAGCAAGGTCTTCTGTAAATGACAATACTGCCAACTAATTGATAAGCAGATCATAACCTTCAGTTAAATTATGCTCAATATTCGGAAGAAAGTAGTATAGTCTACCATGTGAATGTCCCTCTAAACAAAAGCACCTGTGGTTACCTGAGAGTGGATGATTGGTTTATATATATGGGATTACAAGTTCTAGGTGTGGGTTACAGGCAGCCCTCCAATTATCACCTACCCACTGTAAGCTGTCCAGAGTTACCTTGACATAAGATGGGTGGCCAATAAATTTTACAAATAAATTAAATACTCCAAAAGGGGACTTATGACACAGCTCTGATTTTCTGGTGGGCAAGCACTCTCTTGCCATCATGTGACCATTCTTCAGGTGCTCAGCAACATAACCACATTTATGGCCATTTGCAACGCCCCGCAAGCACGTGACCGTGTTTCATAATGGTTTTGCAAAAAAACTGGACATTGCTTCAAGTTGACAGCCCAGTGACTTGAGACAGTTACTGTCATGGTTCCGAAAACTCTTCAAAGAACTTTGAGGCATTGTTTACCTTAAAGCAGGGCTTTTCAACCAGTGGTACGCGTACCACCTGTGGTGCATTGGCACCTGGCAGGTGGTACGCGACCATCCTAGAAAAGTGGTAGCAGGGTGGGGAATGAGCTGAACCGGTGGCAGCACCGCACAAGCCTGAGCGAGAGACGGCTGGAGCTGCAGGGCTGTCAGGGCTCAGCGGAAGCACCGGGATCAGTGTCAGGCTCCAGCTGGAGCTCAGCGCTGATCCTGGCACTTCTGCTGAGCCCTGAAGAAGCGCCGATCAGCTGGACAGCAGCACTGATCCTGACACTTCTGCTGAGCCCAGAAGAAGTGCCGATCTGCTGGAATGTTGCAGCATCTCCAGGGTCTTGTGATTTACATTCAGATGCTTGGCAACTGATTCATATTTATGACCGTCACAGTGTCCCAGGATCATGTGAAGTGACCAAAACCTGCTGCAACCACCCAGCAGACGGGGGGAATAAAAACCAAACACCCCCCACCCCACCCCCGCTGCCAATCCCCAACAGAAATGCTCACAACAATAAAAACCTCGGACAGGAGGAAGAGTGCCGCCGAGTGGGCAGGCATCTTGCTCGGCTGTGGCTTGGGGGGCACTTTTTTCAGTGCCATTGTAACTTCGAACAGTCACTAAGTGAAATGTTGTAAGTCGAGGACTACCTGTACTTTATCACTTTTTTCCTCTTTTTTGGGGGGTCATCAAGTTTTTGACACCTTGCTAGGCAACTAGTGGTACTCGGATATTGCCATATCCTAAAAGTGGTACAATGGATGAAAAGGTTGAAAAGCCCTGCCTTAAAGAATCTTTAATTGCAACTTAGCTTCCGCACATACACAGAGAAGCCAAAATCTGAACTCTCCTCCCCCAACCACACAGTATCCAAGCATAACTCACACCTTCATTTAACAGTCATTAATCACATTCTCCAATTAGTTTGAAGTGTGAACTTTCCCTCCCCTTATCTCCTCTTATTACAACCAACCTTGAAGAATACTCTACTGAGATATTGTTATGGCTAACGAGTCTCCAAGCACATTCTTCCCCCTCCCCTCCAGCATCATCAATTTTTTACTCTAAAAGTAATACACAGGTTAAATAGAAAATGTCTGCATCTTCATATATTGTCAAGCAAGAACACCCGATTGACAGTCACCTTGACCACCGCAAACAATGTTGCAAAACCAGGTTGGTCACATGACCACCGACCCATTTGGCCACTGTAATGGGCAGACTCCATCACGGTCACATGCCAAGGATGTTAGAAGCTAACCCTAGAATCTAATTCAGTGTTTCTCAACCTTGACAATTTTAAGGCATGTGGACTTCAACTCCCAGAATTCCACAGCCAGCAATGCTGGCTGTGGAATTCTGGGAGTTGAAGTCCACATGCCTTAAAATTGTCAAGGTTGAGAAACACTGATCTAATTGCTGTGGTGAATTCTTGCTTCCCGCCAAAACCCTTCAAAGCCCTCAGTGTAAGCACATTTGCCTAAAACCCACCTCGAAATGCTCAGGATTTAGTCAACCCCCCCCCAAAAGCAAACTGACGAGACGGAAAGAGGGTGCGGTATGCAGAATAGTTTAATAAACAGCTTTACATACAGTACCTTACATATAGACAGTGTATTTGCAAATTTAAATACATTTTAATGTACAGTGGCTTGTACTCTTATCCTGTGGAGGTTCAAGTTTATTGTCCTTCATGTAGTTCTCACACTTTTGTACACATTGCCAGCACTGAAACAATCTGGGAGGCTCTCTTGTTACTCTCAATAATGCAGCCTCTCTTGAACAGCCAGTATTTTTTTTAGAAAAGTATCTTTTTTTTTACAAATTTCTGTACATATTGTTTTTTAATCTTCTTTCTCTCTCCCTCTCCTCTTTTTAAGAAACAGCTCGTTAAAAGGTAACATTTTATTTGTCACCAAGGTTCTTTTTATCGCAAGAAAACTAGTCTTGTAAATATAAATATGTCTCTAGAAGGCAACGTGTGTATGAGCACACACATACACATTATGTGTGTGTATATGCATACATGCGTACGCCCACAAAGACATATATACATATTCAAGAGGTATACTACAGCACTGGGTGCAGCGATAATGCAGGTAAACTAAAAGTAACTGGACTTGGCCCAGAATTTTATTTAAAAACCCAGCTAACTAGGAGGACTTTGGTTTCATAATGATTTGCCAAATGACGTGAATGCCTTTAATAGGGGAGCTTCTGATTATTTGGGGTTCACCGGGAGACTACACAGATCATGCCATGTTTTACAAATTGCTCAACTATTCCAAGATTTTTGGCATGCATAAGTTTATCTCCCTGGAATAAAACAGCATCAACCTTCATATTTCATACTTCATTTCACGTGACAGAGAGTAAAAAGGTTGGGAGTGGACCCATTTCACAGCCAGTCACTGGCGGTTTAGACGCTCTTTCGATTCCTCAAGCCAGCTGAGGAAGGCGAGTATTGCAGCCCAGACCCAGCCGTTAGACACAATATCCCTCAATACTTTTAATTATAGCTTGCCCAAATATGAATTTGATGCAATCCTGGTTGATGCTGGCAATATGGAGGACTTGATATGAGAAGTCGGGTGGGGGGGGGGGGGAGAAAGCTCCCTTCAAACTGACCTCGTGCCACTCCCGTTTCAGTATTTTTTTTAAAAAAATATTTTTTGGCACTTCTGACCATGACTTTCCCGGTTTGGTTTCTAAAAATGGAGCATAAGATTCGATGCAAGGAAGGCTCGGCTTAAAAAAATATTCACAGAGAGGCTACTATAAAAAACAGTTTCTCCTGAAAGGGAAGCTAGATTCTTTTTTTTTTTTTTTTTCATTTTCATTTTCCTGGATCTCTACAGTACTATGGAAAACCGGCATTTGTTCAACTTTTTTTTTGTTGTTGTTGTTGTTCACCTTTCGAGTTACCAATGGGGACACATCTCCTTGTTCTACTTTCCAGACTCAAATCATGTAAAATGTGTTCCTTCTTCCAATGCAGATGGCTTTGGCCGGCTTCTTACTCTGGGGATTGTTTTAAGAGTTTGTGGGCTTCTTCCGTGATGTTGCATGTGAAAATGTAGGGAAACATGCCTTGGTTGAGGGTTTCTAAAGCCATAATATGTGGAAAGAAATACACAACCTTCTTTATTTGCCTGCTTTTCAGATCAAACCAGTGCGGTCTTTCCTTTATGAGGGAGATTTCGCCCCTTATCCCATCCCACACGCCGCTTTCAGCCTAATGAGAGAATTGGCAGAGAATAAGGTACAAGCGTTCAGGCTTCTTTTTTTTTAAAAAAAAGTACTCTTTTATGTGAACCTGGTGAATCTGAAGAAACCCATCGTGGGAGCCTGACTGCCTGCGTGCATTCCTTCATCTTTCCTTTCGTCATACGGAGCAGAGGGTGGCAATTTGTTGGACTTTACCCATGTCAGAGATGAGCTGTTTAATCCGGCGCTTGAGTTGAGGCAGACGGGCGAGGGGGTCGGGGGGCTCCAGTTCTCCGGTGAAATCCAGCCAGCTTTCTAAAACTATATAGGGACAAAAGAGAGAGAGAGAGAGAGAGAGAGAGAGAGAGAGAGAGAGAGAGATGAAAAGCCTATTATGCACGGTGATACTGGAGGCTAAAACATATGAGGAACGGTTGCTGGAATTGGGCATGTCTAGTTTAACAAAGAGAAGGACGAGGGGGGAGATGATAGCAGTCTTCCAATATCTCAGGGGCTGCCCCAAAGAAGAGGGAGTCAAGCTATTCTCCAAAGCGCCTGAAGGCAGGACAAGAAGCAAGGGATGGAAACTAAGCAAGGAGAGAAGCAACCTAGAACTAAGGAGAAACTTCCTGACAGTTAGAACAATTAACCAGTGGAACAACCTGCCTCCAGAAGCGGTGAATGCTCCAACACTGGAAGTTTTTAAGAAGAGACAGGACAGCCATTTGTCCAAAGTGGTATGGGGTTTCCTGCCTGAGCAGGGGGTTGGACTAGATGACCTCCAAGGTCCCTTCCAACTTCTTCTTCTTCTTCTTCTTCTTCTTCTTCTTCTTCTTCTTCTTCTTCTTCTTCTTCTTCTTCTTCTTCTTCTTCTTCTTCATCATCATCATCATCATTATTACTCCAGAACTTAGAATAATCAATACAGAATAACAGAATAACAGAATTAGAAGGGACTGTGGAAGTCTTCTAGTCCAATCCCCTGCTCAAACAGGAGACCCTAAGCAGTTCAGTCCTTGATTTACAATTGATCCTGAAATTCATGTTGCTAAGTGAGAAATTTGTGAAGCGCGTTTTGCCTCAGTTTACCACTTTTCTTGCCACGTTTGCTAAGCGAATCACTGCCGTTGTTAAGTTAGCGACACAGCTGTTAAGTGAATCTGACTTCCCCACTGACTGCTTGTCAGAAGGTCGCAAAAGGAGATCCCGTGATCCTGGGACACTGCCAATGTCATAAATAGGAGCCACTTGTCAAGTACTAGGATGGAAATCACGTGACCGTGGGGATGTAAGTGTGAAAAAATGGTCATAACTCAGTTTTTTTTCAGTAACTTCGAACAGTCACTAAATGAACTGTTATAAGTCAAGGGCTACCTGTACCATTTCAGACAAATCCAATCTCTTCTTGAAAACCTCCAGCGTTGGAGCACCCACAATTTCTGGAGGCAAATCGTTCCATCAATTAATTGTTCTCACTGTCAGGAAATTTCTCCCGCGTTCTAAGTTGGTACAGGGTAATCCTCAAATGAGGCTCAAGTTTCTGTTATTAAGTAAGGCAGTTGTTCGGATAGTCATGCTCCATTTTAGAACCTCTTGTGCCGTTAACTGTTAAGCAAAATCACTACAGTTGTTAAGTCGGGCGGTTGTTAAGTCAATCCAGCTCCCTCCATTGGTACTTTGCTTGTCAGAAGCTGGCTGGAAAGATCGTAAATGGCAAAATCACACGAGACCATTGTGAACACGTGCTGGTTGCCAAAAGCCCAAATTCTGATGGTGTGACTGCCGGGATGCTATGACAGTTGGTAAGTTGAGGACTGGTTGTTAAATTACATTTTTTTCAGTGCTGTTGTAACTTTGAACAGTCACTAAACGGATGGTTGTAAGTTGAAGACTACCTGTAATTCTGGGTAAGAAACATGATACGGGATGGTAGCCATGTGGCATCACCCCTTTGTACAGACCAGGTGGACTTCAACTCCTAGAATTCTGGGAGTTGAAGTCCACAAGTCATAAAAGGGCTAATTTTGAAGGCCCCTGGTATAGACCAGGGGTAGGCAACCTTGGCTCTTTTATGACTCGTGGACTTCAACTCCCAGAATTCCTGAGTCAGCCGTGCTGAGGGGAAAGCGAGAGGTTTCCAAGCTGAGGCATGCTGGCTCAGGAATTCTGGGAGCTGAAGTCCATGAGTCATAAAAGGGCCAAGTTTGAAGACCCCTGGTATAGACCAACAACAAATAAAATCCATCATTCTACGCCAGTGTTTCTCAACCTTAGCAAAAGTGGACTTGAACTCCCAGAATTCTGGGAGGTGAAGTCCACATTTAAGTCCACTTATCTTTAAAAAAGAAAACAAACCTGTGTGGCCCACTTATCTTAAAAAACCTGTGTGGACCTCAATTCTAGGTTATGCTGACTGGGGAATTTCTGGAATTGAAATCCACGCAGTTGTTGTTTTTTTTTAAAGGTAAGTGGGCCACACAGGGGTTTTTTTTTTAAAGATAAGTGGACTTCAATAATAATTCTGGGAACTGAAGTCCACACATCTTAAAAGTTGCTAAGGTTGAGAAATACTGTCCTACCCCTTCACACACACACCCCATCTAGCAGAAAAGGGAATATTCCAAATCAGTTAAGGCAGTAAGTTCATTGAAAAAACCAAGGATTTATGTTCAAGTGTTTGTTTTACTCCCATCAATAATTATTAAGTTAACCAAGTGTAGTTTTTTTGTTTCTAGCAAACGAAAGAGGCAAATCAGACATGTCAGGCAATCAGCTTCTGTACTGGTCACGGAGCACAAACCCAATGTGAAGACAGGTGCAGTAGAATATCCTATTAGTATTCTTGGCAAAATGGATGCGGGTACCTCTGGTAAGCACATTCTCAGGGTGCACTCACAAAATGGCTGCTGGGGTAGTTTGCCGCGCACAAAATAGCTGCTATCAGGGACATCACAGCTCTTTCTCTAGCCTCCACTCTCGTCCAAGATGACTCTCTATCATCGTCTATTTTGTGCACACTTCCAAGCTAAGAATTGAATTAGAACAGGCTATTGTTTTTATCTTCTGGGCTCTAGAGACCTTCCTAGGAACAAAGGTAATTCAAGTGCTTTGTTTTGTGGCATTCCAGCGTCATCCATTTTGTATGCCAGTTTGGTGTAGTGGTGAAGGTGCTGGCCTAGAAACCAGGAAACTATGAGCATGAAAGTCAACTGGGTGACATTGGGCCAATCACCAGGTGACTGAGTTCTAGTCCTGCCTTAGGCATGAAGCCTGAATGGGTGACTTTAGACCAATCACCAGAGACAGTGAGTTCTAGTCCTACCTTAGGCATGAAAGCTGGATGGGTAACTTTGGGCTAGTCACTCTCTCAGAACCCAACCCACCTCACAAGATTGTTGTTTGGGAGGAAAATAGGAGAAGGAAGGTGTGTTGGACAGGTTCACTGCTTGAGTTACTTATAAAAAGCAATAAAGATGGGATAAAAATCAACTGAGTAAAATAAAAAAAAAATGTTTTAGACAGGAGAAATTTTATATCTAGATTTGTTTTAATGTAAAAAGCCAGGTGGGATAAAGAACTTGGCAAACCCCAGACAAGTACATATGGGCACGTCTATGTCTTTGGGTCTCGTGCTGAAACCCCCACATTTATTTTGTCCAGTACATTTTATACCTGTTCGGTTACCCAAATAAAAGAGTTTGGGAAAGAGAGAATGTCAGCGTTAAGCTCGGCCTTAAAAATAGTTACCATCGACTTCCTTTTCAATCAGGTCCATTCTACTAGTGACTTCGTTCTGCACATTTTCTATGTGGGTGAGAAGGTTTAGCTGCCACTGAAGACGAGTGTCCACGTGTTCCTCGTTTCCTTTTCTTTCGTTGAATACGAACACGGTGTTCCCTTCGGCTGAATGGTTCTGTGCAGTTACCGCAAAAGAGAATCAGGTTATCAAAACAGTGATGCAACATCGGCGACCCTCAAGTGGCCTTTTTAGGGAGGTGAAATAGATCTGCTGCTTCTGAGTGACTCAGCAGAAACAGGGGTCAAATAAGGCAATTCCTCCACGGCAAAGAGAATCAGTTAACCACGTTCATAATAAAAATGATAAAGCAGGTTGCAGGAAGTTCTCAACTCACAACCATTGTGTTCAGTGAACGTTTGAAGTTACAATGGCACTGAAAAAAAGTAACTCGTGACCGTTTTTCACCCTTATGACTGTTGCAGCATCCCCGTGGTCATGTGATCAAAATTAGGACACTTGACAACTGGCATGTACTTACGATGGTTTCAGTGTCCCAGGGTCACATGATCACCTTTTGCGATGATGGAAATTCTAGTCATCCAGGTCATGGTTGTCCCAAAGTTGCTTTTTCCAAAAGGCAATTGGACTTTCTTGGGTTTTTTTTTTTTCTTTTCCCTTTCAGAACATTTGGCTTCTCATCCAAGAAGCTTCTTCAGTTATAACTGAAGAAACCTCTTGGATGAGAAGTGAAATGTTTTCAAGGAAAAAAAAAAAAAGAACCAAGAAACACTGGAAGTTTTTAAGAAGAGACTGGACAGCCATTTGTCTGAAATGGTATAGGGTTTCCTGTCTGAGCAGGGGTTTGGACTAGATGACCTCCAAAGTCCCTTCCAACTTTATTATTATTATTAATTATTATTATTAAAGTTCCAGTTGCCTTCTGGAAAAAGAAACTTTGGGACATTTTGGGGACCTTCTAACTAGCAAAGCCAATGGGGAAGCCAGATTCAATTAACAACTAGGTTACTAACTTAACAACTGTAGTGATTCACTTAACAACCATGGCAAAAAAGGTCATAAAATGAGGCAAAAATCACTTAACAACCATAGAAGAACAAGATGGTTTTTGCACAGTTCCCGTTATTCAGAAATATTAGTGCAGGAATTTCTGGCTGACTATAGTGGTTCTTCACATACCAGTGATCAGTGACAGAAATAAGAAATCCATCCAAGGTTTTGTTAATTCAGATCTCCAACCACGTGGAAACAACACAATGGGAGCAGTCTGATTGTCAAGGTTCATGAACTAATCCCTCTCAACCTTCTGGTTATATAAAACTTGGCGGCCAAAAGGCACAGCGATGCTCAAAAACTTTCCACTAAATTCTGTAATGCCCAATCACATGTAGAAGTATCAGCAATCACTCTTTGATTCTTTCTCTCTCTTCCTATCCCAAGGCCAGATTCATGAACAAAAGAAAACCTTTTTGTACCAGTTCCACAGTCGAAGCTGCTCTCATTGGATAAGGATTGAGAAGGAAGAAAGCCTAAATAGTTGGTAAGTGAAACATGCTCCATTGCATGACTTTCCTTGCTATGATTGTTAAGTGAATCACTGCAGTTGTTAAGTTAGCAACATGGTTGTTAATTGAATCTGGCTTCCGTGTAGACTTTGCTTCTTGGAAAGTCACAAAAGGTGGTCGCATGACCCCATCAATACCTGCCAAACGTCCGAGTTTTGATCACATGACCGTGAGTATGTTGCAATGATGATAAGTGTGGAAAAACCATCATAAATCACTGTTTTTGTTGCCATTGTAACTTCAAATGGCCAAGAATGGTCAAGGACCACCTTACAGGCTGGTTTCCCTATTTGGCCTATTCCAGGAATGACAATCTCTTTTCTTGAATAGTTGTTCCCATTAAACTCTTCTTCCAATCTTTCAAGACGAGAAATTTCTAGCCTTGTTCATAAATGCTTCCAAAATTAAGGAAGTGATTTCTCTTATCTATCTACATTGATTTCTCTATAGTCTATACAATAACATTTCTGATTCATATTTCATCCTTGGTGGACAATGGGAAGCATCGTTTCAGTTTTTCTTTCCAAGGTCTTTTTGTCTATCAGCATATTTCACGCAACTAGTGTGTTACAAAGCAAACAAACAAAAATTGGGGGGGAGGGTAGAAATAGCAGTGCTGATGTTTCTTAAAAAACAAAATAGCACCGGTGATATTACTAAATTTGGGTTATGAAACGTCTGCGAGAAAACAACTAAACGGAAAGCACTAAGGAATCTCCCAGAAAATATTAATTTATAATTTTATAAACTTACATAGACTCAAGTTCCGTTTGTCAGATGCATGAACACATTTGTTGATATTTAAGTGGTGAAGGCAAGGGGGAGCATGGGGAGCAATGTTTTTGTCATGGAATTATCACCTACCGTGTTTTCCCGAAAGTAAGACCTACCCCGAAAATAAGCCCTAGGTTGATCATAGGGGGTGGGCCTAATACAGTATTTCTCAACCTTGACAATTTTAAGGCACGTGGACTTCAACTCCCAGAATTCCACAGCCAGCAATGCTGGCTGTGGAATTCTGGGATTTGAAGTCCACATGCCTTAAAATTGTCAAGGCTGAGAAACACTGGCCTAATATAAGCCCTACCCCGAAAATAAGCCCTAGTTATAAGGCACACACCTAAAAATCAAGCTAGGGCAAGGGTGGAGGGCTGGAGTTGCCCCACGCGCCCTGCACCCACTTACCAGGCTTTCCATGAATTGACACCTGCCTCTCCTCACCGGCCCACTTCTTCTTTAGCATCCCCCCAGCCTGCATTTTGCCGTCAGAGGCCTTTCCGGAAGGCCTCTGCAGCCAAGAACTGAGCTATGGATTCAATCCTTAGCTCCGTTCTTGGTTGCAGAAAGGCCTCTTGATGGCAAAATGCAGGCCGGAGATCCATTCTCAGCTGCAGAATGAAGCTGCTCCATTGGCCGCAGAAGAAGTGGGCCAGCTGGGCAGGGCTGTCGGTGCTGCCACTGCGAGGTAAGTAGAAAAGGAGATTTTTAGAGATATTGATTTAATATTTAGTATTTAGATTTATAATGGAAATGAAAATTAATTGTTTAGATTATAGTTTTGAACTGTTATATGGAAATGGGTTTGTGACAAGGAAAGATATTTTATTAGTAAACGAGGAGCTATTAGGATGAGAAATAGAATATATCAGTGAAAGACAATAACCTAAATTTTGGAACAGTATGTGTACTCTAGCTGTGATAATTATTTTGTAATGAAATGAGGGTTACCCGAAGTTTAAACATTATGGTTATTAAAGGCTAAATTGGAACATTCTAATTGGAACTAAGTAAAACTTAAAAACAGGACTCGGATATGTATAACTAAAATTGTGTTGATAAATGCATTGATTGATCGAGCTCTACTAAGAAATGTATTAAATTGAATATATAATAATTAAGGGAAATAGAAAGGGAACCTTTAAGCTCAAACTTATATAAAATTGGACTATTGACTACCCTATCACCACGATGTTTCCTAATACTTGGATGTAAAAATTGAAAAATAAATAAAACTTGTTATAAAAAGAAAAGACAGCCCCTCGAAAATAAGACCTGGTGCCTCTTCTGGAGGCAACCCCCCCCCCCTAAAACCCGTAAGACCGGGTCTTATTTTGGGAGAAACACAGCAAATGACACAAATCCCATAATGCACTTCATTTGCATGATAATACCATGGTACACACGACATGAATGGGACTTCTATTGCGTTCCCCTGGGTTGGAAGACTCTCATTTTTGTGTTTATAATTCTAAAAGGTGCCATGGATGAAGCGGTTTGATTTACCTGATGGCCCAAACCATCTTCTGTGGATGAACGCTGTAAACAGTTTTTCTCTTCTAAGAGACGTTCCTGGTGCTGTTCAAAACTGCTGGTGTCATCGTCCTCTGAGCTGCTGGTGGGATCAAAAACGGCTTTGCAATCATGACCAAAACTCGGTTTCTGATAACTGTGTTCACTTCTGATATACGTTTCTTCCATCTTTGGAGCTAAGCGAGGCGGCTCTTTATGATTTTGACTATGACACGTCCTTCCCGAGGGATTAACGGCTTCGGGCACACTTAGGACCCTTCTTTCTATTCCAACCGTGATTTGGTCGTGATCCTTCCGCACACCTGTGCAAGCCCAAAGATGAAGATCAGGGTGATGCTTATTTCTGGGGTTAAACAAACAAACAAACAAAAAAAAAAGATTAATGCGGGTGGAACTAATAAAGGCACCAAGTCACAGAAGCACTGTCTGAATAGACAAGAAGCCAAAAAATATGCCTAAGATTTCAGTTAAAAAAATGAAATGTTGATTACGATGAGTAGTTTCCCTGATGAAACATCTGAAGCAGCGTTTCTCAACTTTAATTCCCCAGGCTGGCTGGAGAATTCTGGGAGTTGAAGTCCACGCGTCTTAAAGCCACCAAGATTGAGAAACACTGATTTAAAGTGTCCATGTACTGTTCAAAACGAGCGGTTTATGTCATTAATAGAAATAATTGATTGGGAGGAAAATCCTCTGTAATATCAATATACAAGTAATCCTCGACTTACAACTGGCCACTTAGTGACTATTCAAAGCTATAATGGACGTCCCAGCCTATTTATGATCCTGATTCAAAGCTCCAATGGACACCATTTCCCCTGGTCATATTTTGGTACTTGGCAATAGGCTCACATTTATGGCCATTTGCAGTGTCCTGTGGTCACATGACTGTGATTTACGATGGTTTTTTTGTCAGAAACCGATATTTACTTCCAGTTTCCAGCAAAAATATGTCCACTGCAGTCAATGAATTCGCTTAATGATCACAGCGTTCACTTAAGGACCGTGGTATTCATTTAATGACTGAAGCAATAAAGGTTGAAAAATTGGACATGGTCACATGGGGACTCACTTAAAAACCAACACAACTTAACAACTATAATACTGGCTCATTGATGGCAATATGGCTGATGCCGTTCTACAGAGGAATTATGAAGTCTGTCATTTGTACCTCAATAACTGTCTGGTTTGGCATAGCAACCAAACAGGACAGGTAGAGATTTCAGTGGATAGTCAGGACTATAGAAAAAAAAAAACAATTGCAACCTGCCTGCCTTCCACGGAAGACCTGTATACTGTACAAACCAAAAAGAGGGCTGAGAAAATATCTACAGATCCCTCACATCCTGGATGTAAACTGTTTCAGCTCCTCACCTCAGGACACCGCTATAGAGCACTGCATGCCAAAACAACTAGACATAAAGATAGTTTTTTTCCCCTGTACCAACTCTCCCACAGCACTGTCTCCTTCTCATCTTTTCTCATCTTTCTACGATCTTCTCCTATTGGTTTCTTATGATTTATCAACTGTTGTTTGTAATTTATGATTAATGATTGTAACAATGATTTATGACCTGTGACCTATTATTTGCTATTTATATGTACACTGTGAGCTTAGGCACTGGAGACGAATTCCTTGTGTGCCCAATCACATTTGGCCAATAAAGAATTCTATTCTATTCTATTCTATTCTATTCTATTCTATTCTATTCTATTCTATTCTTTCCACTCCACTCCACTCTCTCTTCTATTCTTCTACTCTACTCTACTCTACTCTACTCTATTTTCTATTCTATTCCATTCCATTCTATTCCATTCCATCAAGGACTACCCCTATTACACTCAGAAGGATATGAATACTGAAGGAATGAATAAGAACAATGCAAGTTTGATATGTGCAAGTTAAAACCTCTCCTTTCTGAATATCAACATTAGTGCCTGTTAGCCAAATAATTTCAATCTTGAGATAGCTATACAGATAGACCTTAACTTACAAGCATTTGTTTAGTGATCATTCAAAATTACAATGGCACTGAAAAAAGTGACTTATGACCGGTTTTCCCATTTACAACCACTGCAGCACCATGGCCACACAATCAAAATTCAGACGCTTGACAACTGACATGTATTTATGACAGTTGCAGTGTCCTGGCATCATGTGATCACCATTTGTAACCGTCCCAGCCAGATTCCGACAAGCAAAAGTCAATGGGGGAAGCCAGATTCACTTAATGACTGAATGGTAACAATTGCAGTGGATAGATTGATGGATGGATGGATGGACAGATGATAGATAGCTAGATATAGACAGATAGCTAGCTAGATAAGATAGATAAAGAAAGAGAGAGAGAGAGAGAGAGAGAGAGAGAGAGAGAGAGAGAGAGATGGATGGATGGATAGATAAGAGAGAGAGACAGACAGACAGACATAGATATATAGATACGGATGGATGGATGGACAGGCAGGCAGGCAGGTAGGCAGGCATAGAAATTACTGAACTACATGATACACTTACTTTAGTATTCCAATCTTCAGCTGAAGTCCATGTAATATTTCTGTAACACCATAGACATCGGCCAGAAGGCGATGCGTTGACACAATCTTTTTGGCATTTAAATGAGAATAATTCTCTTTTAAAAATGACAAGCCACACATGTGGCCATTATTCAACCAGTCTTTGTCACAGAGATATTTGGCACTCCATCTCTGACCTAGACAAAACATGAGAGTGAGATTTTTGTTATATTACCCAAATTCCCAGAAAATTATCCCAGACTGATTATAGTCAAAAGAGATCACATTCCAGTAGGAAAAATGTATAAGTGGGAAGTAAACATTTATTTAACAAACTGTTAAAAGCTGTTAACACAATTGAAAATTCTCTGCTTATCAGGATTTAAAATACCCATAAGTCCATTCACACATTCCTGATACACCCATTCAATGTTTAAAAGCCGGAGGAGTTCCCTAAATACAAAGACAGGCGTGGAGGTCACAGCAGAGTAGCACAAAGAACCCAAGAAAAATATTCAAAAAATTATAATCACAAATTTTGGACAAAAGAGTGCACTGTTCTATATGTACAACGTAAAACATACGTACACACTACACAAAACATGTACCAATTTTTGAAAAGCTTGAGAAATCTGTTCGCTTTCAAAAACAGAGAAAAATAATCTGCCACTTACAGCCATTCATTTAGTGACCGTCCCAAATTACGACGGCGCTGAAAAAAGTGACGTATGACCAGTTCTCACACTTACGACCGTTGCAGCATCCCTACTGTCACGTGATCTGTGTTTGGGCAACCAGCATGTATTTATTATCGCTCAGTGGCTCCCCTTTAACAATATTGTACGGCTATAGAGACCGTTGCTTCTGATGACTTCAGATGGGGCCGCCGCATTTTTAAAAGTCAAATATTTTCTATCTAGGACTCCAGACGGTATGAGAAATTAAAGTCAAGCTAAGAGAAGAGGAGGGGTTTTACTACTGCATATTTATTCCGTTTCAGTGGCATAGTTACAGTTTAAAACTTTGATTAAGTTCTAAATTACATTGCAAATTATAAATACCCCCAGAGTACAAACAGTATCTTACTGGCATCTGGCAGAAGGATACAGTAAATAGAGGTTTATTAGGCTGGCTGGTTAGGGAAAGGTTGCATGTGAGTTGCCAAACAATTTTGTGAGTACACTTGGGAAAACAATCATAGAAGGCTTAACTGTCTACGTCGGAGGTTCCCAACCTTGGTCTTTTTATAACTTGTGGACTTCAGCTCCCAGAATTCCTCAGCCAGCATGGCTGGCTGAGGAATTCTGGGAGTTGAAGTCCACAAATCATAAAGTGGGCATGGTTGGAGACCCCTGGTCTAAGTACAGCCTCACTTCATTACAAGAGTAGACACTGATCTTTATACTAATATTAACATCCAGTTTTGGTTCACCATGATGTCAAAAAAGATGTTGAGACTCTACAAAAAGTACAGAGAAGAGCAACAAAGACGACCAGGGGACTGGAAGCTAAAGCCTATAAGGAAAGGCTGCTGGAATTGGGTATGTCTAGTTTAATGAAGAAAAGGACAAGGGGGGACATGATAGCAGTGTTCCAGTATCTCAGGGGCTGCCACAAAGAAGAGGGAGTCAAGCTATTCTCCAAAGCACCTGAAGGCAGGACAAGAATCAACGGGTGGAAACTAATCAAGGAGAGAAGCAACCTAGAACTAAGGAGAAACTTCCTGACAGTTAGAACAATTAACCAGTGGAACAACCTGCCTCCAGAAGCTATGAATGCTCCAACACTGGAAGTTTTTAAGAAGAAACTGGACAGTCATTTGTCCGAAATGGTATAGGGTTTCCTGCCTGAGCAGGGGGTTGGACTAGACGACCTCCAAGGTCCCTTCCAACTTTATCATCATTATTATTATTATAACATGAAATGCAAAGCTTGGAAATTTGGAAATGAGTTTGAAAAGGACTTGAAAACGTGTTCTTACCAGGTGGATCCCTGCAAATGTAGCAGGTATATTGCTCTGGAATGCTGTCTTCCAACAATCCCATACACGCGCTGTGTTGCCAACACAGGCACTCTTCACACTGTGGGGTTGATTAAAAAGGAGCAGCGAAGTGAATGCAGGAGATGAAAGGCATAATCAAGCATCCATCAGGCTTAACTCCGTCGCGTACATTCAAATTGTGGTTCTTACTGTCAAGTGTTCTTTTAGTACAGATACTCCACAACTTACGACCATTCGTTTAACAACGGTTCAAAGATACGGCTAATTAGGGAAAGTGCTGATGAACTATCTCAGGGGTCCCCAACTGTAGGCCATAGCCCATGACCAGGTTGTGGCCTAATAGCAACCGGGCAGCATGAACGGCGGGCCTGACTCACGCGAACAGCGGGAGCCGGCACTCACAGCTCAACTCACTCGAGCCCACGGCTCACACAAATGAAGCTGCGTGCATACGCACCTGCCCCTCATACAAAACCCTCCCCCTCTTCCCCCACCACCCTCTTTCGCCAGTCCACCAACCCGGAAAGGCTGGGGAATGCTGAACTACCTCATATTTTTATAACCCTTATTACGTGTATAGACAAACAGATCTGGCTTCCCTACCATAGCAGTAACGAGCAAACAAATTCATTCATAATATTTTTGCTGTCACAGTCTGAACCACGACTGGTTTAGCAATAACATCTGGGAAATCACTCTAACGGAGACAGACTATTTATTTATTTATTTATTTATTTATTTATTTATTTATTTATTTATGAGACGTACCGTAAATGCCGGCGTATAAGACGACTTCCGCGAGCGCTGAAATCGGCGCCAAAGACGGAGGTCGTCTTATACGCCGAGTTGTCTTATACGCCGGAAATACTGGTAGTTTCCGGCGTATAAGACGACGTTCTAGGAATGCGGCCCGGCTATAAAAACGGGGGTCGTCTTATACGCCGGGTCGCCTAATACCCCGGCATATACGGTATATACCGATTTAAGTGCACGCACTCTCTAAGCGGTGTACACCAGTAAGCAATGTATATATATATTTACATTGCCCCCAACAATCTGGGTCCTCATTTTACCTACCCCAGAAGGATGGAAGGCTGAATCAACCTTGAGCCGGTGAGATTTGAACCGCTGACCTGCTGAACACAGTCAGCTAAAGTGGCCTGCAGTACTGCACTCTAACTGCTGCGCCAACTCGGCTCTTAAGAATGCAGCTTGGGAGAAATCTGCTGGATCAATCCAGCCTAGAATTCATCCTATAAATCAGGGCTTTTCAACCTTTTCACCCATTGTACCACTTTTAGGATATGGCAACATCCGAGTACTACCAGTCGCCTAGCAAGGTGTCAAAAACTTGATGACCCCACCCCCCAAAAGGAAAAAAGTGATGAAGTACAGGTAGTCCTTGACTTACAAACAGTTCGCTTAGTGACTGTTCGAACTTACAATGGCACTGAAAAAAGTGCCCCTCAAGCCACAGCCGAGCAAGACACCTGCCTGCCCACCTGGCGGTGCTCTTCTTCCTGTCTGAGCTTTTCATTGTTGTGAGCATTTCTGTTGAGGATTGGCAGTGGGGGTGGGGTGGGGGTTGGTTTTTATTCTTCCCGTCTGCTGGATGGTTGCAGCAGGTTTTGGTCAATTCACATGACCCTGGGGCACTGTGACCATCATAAATATGAATCAGTTGCCAAGCATCTGAATGTAAATCACAAGACCCTGGAGATGCTGCAACATTCCAGCTGATCAGCGCTTCTTCTGGGCTCAGCAGAAGCACCAGGATCAGCGCTGAGCTCCAGCTGGAGTCTGGCGCTGATCCTGGCGCTTCCGCTAAGCCCTGACAGCCCTGCAGCTCCAGCTGTCTCTCGCTCAGGCTTGTGTGGTGCTGCCACCGGTTCAGCTCATTCCCCTCCCCTGCAACCACTTTTCTATGATGGTCGCGTACCACCTGCCAGGTGCCAATGTACCTCAGGTGGTACCTGTACCACTGGTTGAAAAGCCCTGCTATAAACCACAACAGGATAAATTATTCTTGCCTAATGACGTGGAGAACTGGGTGAAAACTGCAACCAAAATTTGACAGCAAACAACCACAGAGTTCTTACCTGAATCATGAAGCCATTTTCCTCATCCATTTCGCAGATACACCTGACTATTTCGTTCAAGGCGTCCTCTTCGTCCTGGGACTCTTCAAAGTTGGTCGAATCAAAATCCTGATTATATTCATCGCCACTCAACAGCAAGCTCTCGGTAGAGGAGTCATCCAGAAACTCCATATCAGAAAGGTCTGCAATATGATTGGGAGGGGGTTGAATGAAGAGGTATAAAAATGTAAAATAAGGTCTTTACAAATTATATATAAAATAAAAGAAGGACTAGGGATGATGTGATAGCAGTGTTCCAACATTTGGGAGGCTGTCAGAAAGAAGAAAGGGATAACCTATTTGCAAAGCACCTGAAGGCAAGACAAGGGTTAAACCTTCAAACTATCCTGGCCACAGCCATCTTCAGCTCGTTTTCAGTTGCTATGGTGATGGGAGGAGGGAGATGTGTTCTTTTAGCTTGGTCATAACAAATACTTCCTTGTGGGAACCAAGGTCAAGCTACCTAAGTTTGGGCGGGCTGGAGTTTCCGTTAGAAAGCCTGCCAAAATAGCTCATTGGGGATTGTGATTGGTAGAGTGGGCAATAGAAGAAGAAGATGGAGGGCAAGAGAAGAAGGGGAGCACAGAGAATGAGGTGGCTGGATGGAGTCACTGAAGCAGTAGGCGTGAGCTTAAATGGACTCCAGAAGATGGTAGAGGACAGGAAGGCCTGGAGGAACGTTGCCCATGGGGTCGCGATGGGTCGGACACGACTTCGCAACTAACAACAACAACAGGAGTGGGAAGTTCAACTTGTTCCTTTGTAACCTTGGGGGGAGGGAACCTTCAGTCTTGTTTCCACCTTTGACCGTGCCCATGCTATGTAGCCATCAAAAGTATTCTTTGAGGAACGCAAATGCCTCAGAGTTATTATTTTCTTCTGGTCTTATCTATCGGAACCTCCACAAAAAGAAGCAATGGGTAGAAACTAACCAAGGAGAGAAGCAACCTAGAACTAAGGAGAGATTTCCTGACAGTGAGAATAAATAACCAATGGATGGGTTGACTTCAGAAGTTGTGAATGCTCCAACACTGGAGGCTTTCAAGAAGAGACTGGATAGTCATCTGTTGGAAATGGTTTAGGACAGTGGTTCTCAACCTGTGGGTTGGGACCCCATTTGGGGTCGAACGACCATTTCACGGGGGTTGCCAAACAACGCAGTCCGCCATTTTTTCCCCCTTTTCCTTAGCTGTGCTACTCCCTTTTATTCTATTGGCTTTTGAAAGCCAATAGAATAGACTCTTTTGAATAGAGTCTAATTCTATTGGCTTTCAAAAGCCAATAAGAATTGTCCAGGCTTTCTCTGCCCTGCTGAGCCCGCCAAAAGTCCCATTCTGCAAACGGTGCTACACCAGTTGAGTAGTCCTCGACTTACGACCGGTTGAGTAGTCCTCGACTTACGACCGGTTGGGGGTCGCGGCATTAAAAAGGTTGAGAACCACTGGTTTAGGATCTCCTGCTCGAGCAGGGGGTTGGACTAGAAGACCTCCAAGGTCCCTTCCAACTCTGTTATATTTCATGTTCTGGGTCCTAATATGAGACTTCAAAATAAATAGTTTATTTCTTATATCCCAAAATAGATAAGATTTATTTGGATACTTCTCCGCATGGCAAATACTATATTAACAAAAATACCTAAAGTTATTTAGGGCACTGTTCTTTCAGAAACTTTTTAAGCTGAAGCATAGAAATAACCAGAAACGAATATTAAAGAAGGGGAAATCTATTCACCATAATTAGGGACATGGAAACCTTGCAGAAGTCATGCCACGCTACGTTCGTTTGGATTACTGAAGTCTACGTGAAGCATGATGAACCTTGGAAATGTTTTCTGCAAATGGATTAAATCAGGGGTCTTTCAAACTTGGCCCTTTTATGACTTGTGGACTTCAACTCCCAGAATTCCTCAGCCAGAGTGCCATGCTGGCTGAGGAATTCTGGGAGTTGAAGTCCACAAGTCACAAAAGGGCCAAGTTTGAAGACCCCTGGATTAAATTAACAGGAAAATGGAATCTCAATTTAAAGAGTATCACAGAGTATAAAGCAGACCTACTTTCACCGCTGAGATCGACAGATAAAATAGCCCTCGGGTACTGATAGGACGTGCTCTTCTCGGTTGTTGTGCTGCGGAGCGTCAGCGAGCTGCCAGAAGACCGAGTGAAGGGCGAGGAGCACCTATCAAAGTAGTCAAGAGAACTATCCTCGAAGTCAGAATAATCTGCAAAGGAAATCACAGGGGTGCAGCTGTAGAGGATCGTATACAGAACAAATACAACTTTACATGTTTCAAACCTGAATGTTCAAATGCCTGAGATATTACATCAGTTGGCTTTGAAGTAATTTATCAAGAAAAATATAGGGCAGAAAGTCAATAGCTTCCCACTAACTGGCAACACAGATCATGATAGGCTAAACCAGGGGTCGGCAACCTTGGCTCTTTTATGACTCCTGGACTTCAACTCCCAGAATTCCTGAGCCAGCCATGCTGAGGGGAAAGGGAGAGGTTTCCAAGCTGAGCCATGCTGGCTCAGGAATTCTGGGAGTTGAAGTCCACGAGGCATAAAAGAGCCAGGGTTACTACCCCTGGGCTAAACCAAACTTGGCCCTAATCCTGACCTTATAATGAAAAATAAACAATTATCAGCCAAAATTTGCAGTTGTACTTCCTGTCATCTTAGCAATGGGTAACTTTCCTTCCTTCCTTTCTTCCTTCCTTCCTTCCTTCCTTTCCCTCCCTCCAAATCGTACTGAAAAATAGTGACAAAATGGGACCACCATCGATGGACTGGGAGAGATTTGGGCCTCCCTTTGGTGTTCTAGTTTCCTGACTGCGCACAAATGCAAGGGAACCCTTCTTCAGTTCTGAATAAGCTTCTTGGATGAGAAGTGAAATGTCTTCAAGCAAAAACAGAGAAAAAGCATCTTTGGGACAACCATGACCTGGATGACGGAGAATCTCCATAGAAAACTGCAAGGGAAGTTTTTTATTTTTAAAAAAGGAAGCTGAAGTGGCTTTGTGATATGGAAGTGTCATTTTTGCAGACATGTCTATCTCCTGTCTCTGGATCCAGAAACTGTAAAAAGGAAGTTAATATCAGGGAAATCTCAATCTCCATCATACACAAAGCCTTGGTTAAGTAAGAAAATGTTTTACAAATCATGGGTAACAACTGCAGCTAGAGTTCTGCCTTAAGCACTATTTAAACTGTGATTCAGATGCTAAAGTCATGCTAGCTCTCATCAAATCAAAGGTTAGCCTGTCTTGTGATTATATCCAAAGAACTAACAAACCATGGAAGTCTGAATCAATTCTCATTTCCCTGTTCATGGTTTTCAGATAACACAGGCCTCTGGGACATACTGCCATCTTGTTGTTAAAAGTTGCCATTTTATAAGCGTCTTATAATCAGAGTACACGTCAGAGAACATGGCATATAATAAATATCCTGATTTCAGGACAGAAGCACAAGGGGCCGTTTTGTTGTTAGTTGCGAAGTCGTATCCGACCCATTGCGATCCCATGGACAACGTTCCTCCAGGCCTTCCTGTCCTCTACCATCTTCTGGAGTCCATTTAAGCTCACACCTGCTGCTTCAGTTACTCCATCCAGCTACCTCAATCTCTGTCGTCCCATTCTTCTATTGCCCTCAATCTTTCCCAGCATTAGACCCTTCTCCAGTGAGTCCTTCCTTCTCTTTAGGTGGCCAAAGTACTGGAGTTTCAACTTTGGGATCTGGCCTTCTAAAGAGCAGTCAGGGTTGATCTCCTCCAGGACTGACCGGTTTGATCACCTTGCAGTCCAGGGGACTCACAGGAGTCTTCTCCAGCACCATAGTTCAAAGGCCTCAATTCTTTGGCACTCAGCCTTTCTTATGGTCCAACTTTCACAGCCATACATTGCAGCTGGGAAAACCATGGCCTTGACTATACGTACTTTTGTTGGCAGGGTGATGTCTCTGCTTTTTAGTATGCTGTCTAGATTTGCCATAGCTTTCCTCCCCAGGAGCAAGCGTTTTTTAATTTCTTGGCTGCAGTCCCCATCTGTGGTGATCTTGGAGCCCAGGAAGTTACTGCATATCCAATCAAGTAAATTATATATTCTTTTACTCTTATAAGTGCCCTTCCCCAAAAGTCTTAATACAAAATAGCTGGAGGACTTAGCAAGGATGAAGTGGAGCACCCACTGCTGTTCAGAGAAGAAATGTCAAAGAAAAAGCACAAGGTAGACACCTGAAAACAGGTAAAACTAGTCAGCAAGTTGTACCTGAAGAGAGCCAACAAGCACATTCTAAAGCAATGTTTGGGGGGGGGGTTATGTGCACCTGTTTTAAAATCTAATTCATCACCATATGAGAGCAACCACAGGGACATATTTTGTTCATTTTATATGGTGGGTATACCATGCTGTTTTGATTTCTTCTTTTTCTTTTTCTTCTTCTTCTGTTTTGACTTCAGATCTTTCTCCTTCCTCTCCTTTTTCTCCTTCTCCTTCTTTTTACCTGCCATTTAAAAAGGGTAAAAGTCATTTAAATGAAGGATAGTTTATATCTAAAAGAATCCAAATCACTTAAAACAATTGTCACCTAGTATCAATATCCTGCCTAGGGGGAAAAAAATGAAATTGTTCAAGCGGGGAAATATGTGATAAGCAAATATTAATTTTAAGCACTGGAGGCACTGGGAAAAGAAGGGATATTTGAAAGAACCAATTTTAAACTAGGAACTAAGATTTATAGGCCAGTAAAATATAGCAAAGTACGAAAAGAGCTCAATTTATATATAACACTCAGCTCTAATGTGATTTGTTCATTTTTCTCAGCATCTTGTATGTCTGCACAAAACTGGAACTTTTTAAGAATCTCAGAGTGAACGAACTCATAATTTCAATGGCATTTGGGCATCAAAAAGTACAAGTCTGTTAGCTAGTAATCACATTCGTTTAGTAACTGATCCAATTTTAGAATTACAAAATAATCTCAGTCCTTGTTATTTTCCCTTTAACAAATATGAATCAACGGCTCAAAAATATTGAAAAAACAAAACTATCAGATCATGCCCCCAATAATTAAAAACAGGGTATCGTCATTTATAAGTGATACAGATCAATTTAAAAAAAAAGATAAAAAAAGATTACCATAAAAGTTCTTAATTTTATGCTCATACCAAGTAAAGATGAGGATCTCTCTTCCAATTTTGATTTCCTCTCAATTTTCAGTGTTCCTGTAGAGTCAAAGATGGTACAGATGTATCTAAATTTTAGCTATTATTATTTCCCAAAAAATTAGTTTTTGTTCAATTTTTTAATGGAAAGATTGGTGATGATTCCTGGACCCATTAAGACATACTTTCATGATTTGAGTTTAAACAACAATCCAAACCATAAAATATAGTGTATAAATCAAGTTGTGTGAAATCATACAGCACGTTAAGCTCAAACTATCTTTTACACAGGAACCTAGCCTGTATGTTTTGATTAGCTCATTTATACATCTTGGACTTGAAAGATTGGCAGCGTTCATTAACCTTAGGAAAATCTACATAAAATCAAGGGCTAAAAAGATTAAAAACAGTCTACGGACTGTTACTTCCACATAGAATTGAATGGAGTAGCAGGATGAACGCTAGCTACAATAGAGTTGTCCAATCTCAATTATAATTACAAATTAAAATAACTATCCTTTTCTTACAAGGATTTGGCACCAATATCCTCTCAAACTGTTTCTGTTTCCTGGGAAATAAACAGGACATATATAGAGGCTTGGAAACAAACATGCAAACACATGTTTTCTAGATATGCGTAGAAGCATAGACAGAAACACAGAGAGACCCGCAGTTCCCTGTAAATGCGAATGCATATTTAATATTGTTGAAAGATTGATAAGACATTTTACCTGGGGCCACCGGAGCTACTCTGCCATCCAATCCTGCTTTGGAAAGATGGCATCTAATAATCTGGTTCTCTTCCTTCTCCTGATTGGTTTGTTTGCTATAGCGGACAGCCTCCCCAGCGAACAGGGCTGAAACATCCAAGTTACTGCTTAAGTCAAGAGGACGACTTAGTCCATGCTTCTCAAGGGATACATGAGCTACATTGGGAACTACACAAAAGAAAGAATGCAGTATTAACAGATGAGCATTGGGTTCTAGGTGTTGTTAAGTTATACCCCTAGTGTGGCAAAGGCCTTGTTTACTAACCAGAAGTTCGTTAAAAAGACGTCTTGTGAAGGCTTTATTTTAAAATGCTTGATTTCTCTCTGCTTCCATATTAACAGGGAAATACATTACCCTCCAGTGACCAGCCTGGGTTCATTTGGGGCATGGATGGAGAACCCTTTACCATCCATGATTGGAGAGAGAGAGAAGTAATTTTTTTCTAGAAAATCATGAAACAATGAATCAGTTGCTAAGTGCTGTAATCTTCATCTCCGGTGGCTATTTTTTGAAGGATCTAAGGATATTCGCTGGTTAAAAAGAGACTTTGCAATGTTCATGAAGCAGACACAACCATCAGACAGTTGTTTCCAATAGTTCTCATCTACCCATAATTCACACCTTTAAAAACAAAAATAGGTGATGGGAAGGATAAAACTAACTGGGACTAACCATGGGCATAATAGCAACCACTAAAATTTGTGTTAAAATAAGTTTGTCTGAAGTAGGTTTGACCCAAAAAGCCACTAGCTTTCACATCTAATCTAGTTGGCTTATGTACTGTCGTGTCTTTTTAACTCATGAATAAAACTGCAGGATATTATAAAACAATGCATACCCCGTTTACTAGGATATCAATTCAAGGACAGAATGATACACCTTCAGACCCAAAATTGTTTTAATACTTAAAAAATACTATGTATGCTGAATATTTTCCTTGGAACCATAGTGCCTCCAGAAGCATCGTGCAGAGAACATCAATTGTTCATTTTGCTGACAGACTGTAGACAGTCTAGTCTCTTAGCGGACAATAAGGATATCACTGTTATATTATTTAAATCTATATTATAGGTATTAGTTTAAAAATTGTTTTTCAATTATTGTTAGATTGCATTCAGTATTTATTTTGATGAATTGCCTACAAATTGCTTTGGTATTTAGCTATAACAAATTAAGACATTAGCTATAATCTGACATGAGATAATTGCATGATTGTCTTCTATAGCTTTTAAGCAACCTGGCATTCTTTGCATGGCATAAATCATTAACAGTAAAAATCAATTACTGGATTGCTGGCTATGATGTTTTAGTAGTTGGTCCTTTGCTGCATAGCTGTGAACTGTTGCAACATTTAATACCTACTAAAAAATTTTGATATGGTCTTGTAATCTTGTATTTGTGGGTAAGTGAAATTTATTTATGCAATTATTCATAAGTTCTTTCCCCATAGAGACAATAAGTTGTCCTCTTTCAGCACACTTCTAGAATTTGTCTATGGGCAGAAAGAAATTATGATTGTGATTAACAGTTTCATCCAGGCAAAATTAAACATTACAAAATCACATTAATTTCAGTGAAAAAGTGCTCGACCCTTCTGTTAAATATAATTGGACTTCAAGGTTTTGGACAGACTGAAACCAATGTAGTTAATTTTCATGCATGTGTAATCATGAAAGTCACTTCAGAGGTGTACCTTACAACTCCTAATTACTGAAGCTGAGGTATTTTATTATTTAAAGGGGCATGCAGAAAATTCCATTTCAAATTGTTTGAAGTTTAAAGCACTTGCAAAACACTCCAAATTTAAAAAAAAAAGTGTTTTTTTTTTCCTCAATGAAAGACGGTCCATAAAGTTCCACACTAAAAACTATTTAAAAGTTATCTTGGCTTCAAAACAAAAAACAAACGAAAAATAAATTTAAAAAATGGAAAAAGAAGTGGAAGCCATCCAAAGCAAGAGTTTTAATTATTAAATGGAGGTGGGTTTTTTTTCTTAATTGCTCTCTTTCCCTATTTAAAATAGACTCAAATCATCCTCAGCAAAGGTTACTTACAGATTTATGTGACATTGTATCTACTGGAGATGTAATGATCAATGAATGTTTTCTCCTATTTTTTCGGGATAATTTTTGTTTAGTTAGTTAGCCCTTTCTTATTCCCTGCCCTGTTAAATGAAAATATTCTCCCCAAATCAATTGGATTTATACATACTACTGTTTGGGTCATATCCTGAGTTTCTTCTGGGTCATATCCTGAGTTTCAGTGCATGCCAATTATAAGACAGCCCAAAGAAATAGCTCTTCTGATTCATTTTACCATTTTTCAGGAGCAAAAAAAAAAAAAAAAAAGGTTTAGGCTGCTATTTCACAAAAATAAAAACATCTCCCCTCCCAACATTTTTTTTTTTAATCTATAGGTGAGAGAGGATTATGGACAAGGAAAAGTGTGCTGAAGTTGGACACAAAAAAACAAATCTTCTTTTTTTGTTGATGTTGAACATGCTTAGACATCTTCTAAAATGGTAAGACATTTCAACTGATACATTCCTGGATCTCATCTCAGAAAACAATTTTGGAATCTTTATCTCAAACGTGGAATAACTGCTTCCTGTTAACCAGCAATGGAGAAAATAAGAGTTGGCTTGTCAAAGCAGAAGAATATAGGATGGGCTACAAAAAAAACATAGGAAAAGCTCTCCTTCTCCTAAGAATGTAATCACCAATAGCTTTGCTGTTCTGTGCAGTTTGAGACACTGTTGTCACTGCAGAGAAGAATTCTGCCCTGCAATTTTATACTTTGTGCTCCACAGGAACAAAACCCAAAATCAGTCTTGAGTCAGTCACCTGGTATAATTTGAAAAGAAAAAAAAAAATGAAGGGGAAGAGAGGAGAAATAGGAGAGAGAGAGGAGAGAGGATAGAGGAAAGAGAAGATTCCAGGCAACAGGACAAGGAAATCTTTGCAAATTGGAAGAGCGGTCGGTTGTTTTAAATTTTCTGCTTTTCCTCAGATGTGAAAGGTACAAGAAATCTCTTATGTTCTTGCATTTTTTTTCCTGGTGAATTGAATTATAATACTGTTAGAGACTCCATGACATACCTTCCTTGAAGTCCTGCTTCTTTCTTTCTTTCTTTTTTTTTTTTTCAAAAATCTACTCATGATCAACAAGCCATATTCAAACAAAACAACCACCCACCCACCAATGATGACTTCTCAATTAAGGTTATGTTTTAAAATGTCTGTGCTCACTAGTTTTATTTATCCCAGAAGAAGGAAGCTGGGAGATCAGGGTCAAATCCTCCACTTGTATTAATTCTGGGGAAATTGGTGTTTTAAGGGGCTTTAGACACCCTGCAGAATCTCCAGATTCTTGTTTGCATTTCTTGCTGCGCGACTTTCCTGAAGCCAGGTTGGAGAGCAGCAGTGCCGATTTCTGAATGTTGGCAGAACTGCCAATATCAGCTTCATATTTTTTCTGACTTTGAGGCTTAGGTGATATCTCCTGAATAAATAATAAGAAATTGATACTTTTATTGCATTTTCTTCACTGTAGCTCTCGCATTCTACTTTGATTTTTTTTTTAAAAAAAAAAAGCAACTTTAAACATTTTTTTTCCCAGAAGGAAAGAAAAATTTAAATTAAGCATATTAACAGTTTAAAAAGGGACGAGGCCAAAGGCTGTCATCCCAATCCAGTGATCTCCTCTCCACAGTAGGCCTGTTCTATGAACATTCTCCTCCTTCATTTCACAGAGAAATTAATGTTCCACACAAGCATTCTTGCATAACACAGCAGGAGGAGAAGGGTATTTCTTCCATGTCTGAAGTAAACCCTTCCATATGCAATTTATACTTCGTATTGATCTCTGGATTAGGACGTGAAGCCTTGCACATCTCTTCAGTTCTTAATGACTGAGCATCATAATTCTTCCAAACATATTAATCTCTGATTGAGTTGACCAAATTTCTGTATCAGGAATTTCTATAGCATGCCTTAAAAAGCACAACTGAGAGTTTGCAATTATAAAACTCGGTTGTGTTACAAAACTATCTAGTGATGCAAATATTCTAGCTTCCTGTTTGCCAGATTCAAAATCATTAAATGAGTCATTATTAAAATCCACAATTTCCCACATATGTAGGTCAGTCTGAATACAAGATATGAAGAGGCTGGCAGGGTCCCTTTAGTTTTTTAAATCATTGACTATATTCTGTATTTTAGCACATAATCTGGACATCATCTGTACATTAGCTGTCATAAGGACCATAAAATTTGTCAATTAAAAGCAATAACAACGAGTGTCAATTTATCAAGTCAGGAAAAACAAAGCATATATTTTCAAAATGTAATGACTCTACATCCGTTTTGTTCCAATACACATAATGAATCATCATATAAACATAACCTCAATTTACAAATACCAGTATTTTACATACATGTCTAGAGAGCTATTCCCCCACAAACAGTTCAAACCACTTTCATCTGGCAGAGCTAAATATTTTGCCAGTAAGCCTTTTCGTTCAAGCATTGGGGGAAATTCAGGATCGTTGCCTTTTCATTAAAAACAGACAAGCAAACTTACATAGTAAGAATCAAATTCATGACCCAAAACGTGTTCTCCAGGCTGAGACTTTTGCATCAAAAGATGGATGTTAGGCACGGATGACTAGATAAATAATGCAAAGCAGCCCTAGGACATGCATGGACTATGCAAAGAAACTACCCCAACCACAATAGGATTAGTGTCGTGCTTGATAAGACAGAATGTAGTTCTGGTTCAATGTCCTTGCTACATTCAATGTAATGGAAATATGATGTAAAGACTGGCGGAGCAAACATTCCACTCAATTGTCATCCATGCTATTCCTGATCCAGTTATGCATGTTCACTGAGCATCGTTTGTTCATGTAAAACAACTGGAAGATTGTAGGACATAGCTAAAGCTTGTTAAGAAAATTGCCAGAAATTAATTAGAGCCATAGCTTGTAAATAAATGATTTTATTGTTCATCTTCACGTGTGAAAGACATCACTACAGAAACCGTTACTTTCAAAGTTACAAAATTATTTAAAACAAGGTTTTAAAAACTTGTTCTAATAAGGTGCTTAAACCTCTTTAACAAGGACAAAATTAAACATGAGAAAGAACCTTAATGAAAATTAATTAATCTAAGCAGATATTGTTCTAAAGTTTAAGTACAAGGCCCGATCCTAATAACACAATTAAATAACTACTGTACCTGCAACATGTAACCTGAGGGTTTAGGTTTAAGATATTGTAAACCAGAAAGGTGGGAAGAGAAATTAACAACCAGAGGAGACAATCTGAATTTCTTTTCATTATAACTTTTTAACCATCAATGTTTAGCTGCAGACACCTTGGCATTATAAAGCCACTGATTCCTAAAAAAAATTATTTATGCCTTAGAAAACAAATGTCAAATTTGCAACCCGGGTCCTCCTAGAAAAAAACATGATTTGGGCTGTACACACACTGGTATTAACCAAATGTATTTTCTTTATAACCATCATTTGAAAATCAACTTTAAGTTTCAGGTTTAAAAGTAGAACCAGGTTTTTGTTTGTGTATGTATAACTTAAAAGACCGATAACGGATTCTTGGATGGAACCACTGCCATGATTGGCTGAAAGCTAAAAGAAAATGTTATATTTTTCTCATTAATCTATTATTTCTTTCATTCAGGCAACAAATTTCTTTCCATTTCAAATTCCAATTTTTCTGTACCAATTTTCTCTTGGTTATATGTTTTCTATCAAGGGTTTACAAATTCATATTTTATAGGCTGTTAAATCTCTAATGTTAATAACAGTCTATAAGAGTCCAAGAAGACCAGCCACATTTAATTTTAATTTTAAAAGTATTGTTTTACATTATGTAGCTTACAGAACAAGATCGGCAAAACTGGCATTTCAATTTTGGTGTGACTACCTCCAGCCTTTTGAGCCAAGCTATTATATATATTTTGTTTTGAGGGTTAGTGTTTTAAATTGGGGTGTGATGAATTTTTTTATTTTTGTGGTGGTTCTAATTGTTGTATGCCAATCAAAGTCACTGCTGTGAGATGGGCAGTTGTATAATTGTTTAAATAAATAAAATGAATTTGTGTTGTGTGGTTCATGGAACAGTCACCAGGTTTTTAATTTAATAGGTTTGGAGGCGTGCTTGGAAGCAGCACACTGTGGAATGAAATTATACCTAATTCCTTCCACTGGCATCATAACAATTCTGGCATCATGATGACTCCACTAAGGTGTTTTTGTTTAAATAATGTTGACAGGTGTATCTGGTGAGAAATATTTTATCCGCTCCACCTAAAGTTTTACATGCTCTGATCTGAACTGTAGAAATTAGATACCAGAATCAAAATCCATTATTTGGTTAATGAACGGGGTGGCTAAACTGGGAAAAGTGCCAACAAGGGTTGCATATTTTGAATGCTTTATAGCTTCTTAATTTCATTAGACCTTCAATTCTCTCTCTGCGGTCAATCTATCCTTAATGTGCAAAAAAAAAAAAAATCTAAAAGAAAGAAACTCTGGTGAGTTACAAAAACGCACATTTACAACTGGAAAAATAACAACTCTTATTTTATAACTCTCCTCCAATCCCCATAGATAAAATTCTTCCATTGCTTCTCCTGGTGCCTTTTGCAATATCCCTTGTCTGGCTTCTGCCAGGATCAGCCATAGGTGCAGGAGTATGAAAAGGCACCATGGCATGAGGATCCAACTGACATGGAATAAAAATCGTCCCCAGTTGATAAGTTTGGACGTTTCCTTTTTTGAGTAAAAAGGTTTAGAAAAAGATGATAGGGACAGAAAAAGGAAAGGGGGGGGGGAATGGTATGTTAAATAAAAAAATGCTTGCTTCGATTTGGCTGAGGCTAAAAATGGGTATTTTGCCTGAGCAAAGAAGGCCAATTCAGTAGGAAGCTCTCACGGGAATACGGGGCTGCTCTGTGCTTTGAAATATACAGAATTGCCCTCCAAAACTGCGTAGAAAATCGTATGCAAACGATTCTCATATAAAATTATGAGGACAAAACTCTTAAATGTGGCCCTTAAGAAAACAGTTATAACTGAATTCTAGTTTAGAGATCAGGAAGGAGCTGTAGGAGCACTTTCATGCTCCTCCGAGAGAGATTGCCGAAGCAATTTAGCTGCCCAATTCAAACTAAAATGAAAATGTTCTGCTCAAAATAAATAAAAGCCAGTTTTTGTTTTGATCCAAAGGGTTGATCAATGTATCAAAAGCAATGGCATGAAAACAACAGATGTTCCTTCTAGTCTGGTGGCCTAATTTCTAAATCCAAATGGATCTGAATTAGCATATGGATAAAGCTTATATATTCCACAAAATGGATCTTCCTCCAAACCAGCACTGGAACAGCAAAGGAATGGGGGGGAGGGGAAACAGCTGTGAAGTGTCTTGAATAGGTATTTTTGATTCAATTATGTGGCCCAAAATGAATCAAGCTTTTCAAAAAAAGGATTCATTTCAGGAGAAAAAAGCAACAGTGTAGAAATATTTTTCAAGGGGAACTATTTTAAAAAATATCTATTCATGAAACCAAAACTATGCTAAATATAACATTAACGATCCAAACTCAGTACAAAAAATGTGAGTAAGTTTAGATCTGTCCTCACAGGCCAAATTTGCTGACAGCTTTTTAAGTCACGCACACCTGCTAAGCATACTGAGGGCATGTTCACACGGTAGTTCAGAGTTGGTAAATTGAGAACAAGCTAGATTCAATTCATCTGGATTTAAAGTCAAATGATTTTGCTCTTAAAGACCCAATTTTGAACCCTGTGGCCTACGCTATCCGTCCTAACTATGAAGAACTCACTAGCCAAACTATGTTAGAAAAAGCTGTTGCAAAGCAGGTTCAGTAGAACATCTTACTACCAGCTAGAAATCTGGGGATTACAGGGGCCTAGGATTTTGTACTATTTTATTTTCAACTGCTAACTTTCTAGGTTATATAAAATGAGACACTGCAATAGGTCTATCAGAATATTCTAGGAATATATTAGGAACCTAGTAAAGGGGACAGAAACAGCTCGTCCTTACTATCTGGTTGGGTAGAAAGCCTTAAACCAGTGTTTCTCAACTTTGACAATTTTAAGGCATGTGGACTTCAACTCCCAGAATTCCACAGCCAGCAATACTGGCTGTGGAATTCTGGAAGTTGAAGTCCACATGCCTTAAAATTGTCAAGGTTGAGAAACACTGCCTTAAACTCATAAGTTAGCACACTGAGAAAGAGCAGCTCATTTCTGGGAACCACTCCAACGTACTGAGAATAGCAAACTATCCTCTTAGTACGCTTAACTCACCAGCCTTGTCCTTAAAAGTCATAGTTATGCACTAAATGCAAGGCACGAGAAAATCCAATGGAGCAGAAAAATTAAAGCGAATGCAGGCATCTCTCCTTTAAATGTGAACGAAAACCAAGTCCCTAAGAGGTTTTTAATGTGTTTCCTTTTTAAATATTTATTTAAAAATCTAGCGCTTAATCCAAGGAGGAGGAGGAGGTGGTGGAGGAGGAGGGTTAGTAATATGGCTCATTGAACAGTTCCATAAACACATACAAGTTTACAACCACCAATTCTTACAACAGAAAGGAAATTTCCCTCGGAAGAAGTTCTGGTAGATGTCAACAACCCCTGTGTGAAGGCGCAACTGGAATTTGCATCAAGGGTCTTTTAAGTCACTTGTTGGCACAATTTCAGGTATAGTGTAACAGTACCTGGGAAGAGACATCCAGGTGGTTTTTTTTGTTTGTTTGTTTTGATTCTTGGAATGTTTTGCTAATGAAAATTAAAAATAAAGTCCCAAATGTGCTTTTTTAAAAGGGCAACTGAACTTTCTTTTCTCTCTCTTTCTTTCTCTCTTGAAAACATTTTGTTTCTTATCCAAGAAGCATCTTCTGTTCTTTGTGAACTGAAGGTGCTTCTTGGGTTAGAAGTGAAACGTCTTCAAGAGAAAAAAAAACGAAGATAGTCCAGTTGCCTTTTGAAAAAGTGCCTTTGGGACAACCATGACCTGGATGACTGAGAATCTCCATAGACAATGAAAAGAAAGGTAACCATAAATTAAGACATCCAACTCCTCTGGCCTAAGGCCAAACGACAGAAGTCCAGTCCAGACTGCATCTCGAACTGGCTTCCGGGTTAGGCATCCTTAGGAGCAACAGATTTACTTCCATTACTTTCATTGACGCAGAGGTATATGTACATACACGTCGTTCTTTTAGTGCCCTCTCGGATTCTGCCTAGCAAGACAATATTCACATCACAGATCTGGTATTTCCCATAGTACATTCCAGAATGGCCCTCGGAAAAGAATCAACTCTACAATTTCATACCTGCTCCAAGACTGGAGCTGCTTCTTTGCGGTCTTGTTTCTTTTCAGCACCATCAGCATTGACAGCTTTGGATGCCAACAACCCTGTACAAGAAAAAAAGCATCATAAAAATAGGACCCCGTTGGAAATAACCGCCGTGGCATTTGGTCAAGGATGGCTGCACAGGTAGATCTGAGTACAGGTGGCTCTCAGTACAGGTGGTTCCCGACTTAACAGTCGTTCATTGAGTGACCAAAGTTACTACAGCGCTGAAAAAAGGTGACGTAGGGCCCTTACGACCTTTGCAGCATCCCTCTAGTCGTGTGATCAAAATTCAGATGCTTGTATTTGTGATGGTTTTGGTATGTTTAATGGAATGTCTTGTTTTTACTTGGTTCGCTGCCGAAAGTTTCTAGGACAGATGGGCAACTACATAAATTAGAATAACAACCATCACAACAAATCTGTTAAGATGTATTGGGCTGAGGGGCTCAAAGTCACCCAGCTGGTTTTTCATGCCCAAGGCAGGACTAGAACTCATGTTCTCCTGGTTGCTAAGTTAGAGATTTAATCACTAAATCAAACCGGCTTTCTAGTTCCTGGTTTTATGATGCAAACATTTAAATTGTTTGCATTTCTTCTTAAGTAGAGAGTTAACAGAACAGAATAATGGAGTTGGAAGGGACCTTCGGTGGTCATCTAGTCCAACCCCCTGCTCAGGCAGGAAAACCAGTATCATTTCAGACAAATAGTTATCCAATCTCTTCTTAGAAACTTCCAGTGTCGGAGCATTCACAACTTCTGGAGGCAGGTTGTTCCACTGACTAATTGTTCTAACTGTCAGGAAATTTCTCCTTAGTTATATGTTGTTTCTCTCAATTAAGTTTCCATCCATTGTTTCTTGTTTTGCCTTCAGGTCCTTTGGAGAATAGGTTGATTCCCTCTTCTTTGTGGCAACCCGAGATATTGGAATACTGTTATCATGTCACCCATAGTCCTTCTTTACATTAAACTAGACATACCCAATTCCAGTGACCGTTCTTTATATGTTTTAGCTTCCAATCCCCTAATCATCTTTGCTGCTCTTTTCTGCACTCTTTCTAGAGTTTCAACATCTTTTTTACATTGGGGCGACCAAAGCTGGATGCAGTAATCCAAGTGTGATCTTACCAAGGCATTCTATCTGATAGAATATCAAGTTGATATTTTATTATCTGGGGAGAGCACAGGAGACAGGAGGGAATCAATCTATGAGAGTTCCTACATCCAGCCCATGCCAGCAAGCTTGCAAAACTGTTAGACAAACCCTGCTTAGAAACTGCAGGGATCCGGTTCCTTGAATCCAGAAGTGGCTATGTTCAAATGTAGGTAGACCTCAACTTACGACCGGTCGCTTAGCAACCATCTGAAGTTACAAAAGACCTTCCCAAGGACTTAAAACCCGGTTCCAAAGTTACGATAGCCAGCCCCACCATGGTCACATGATCCTAATTCGCGTGCTTGGCGACTGCCCAGCATTTACACCTGTTTGCAGCGTCCTGCAGTTCTATGACTGCATTTTACAAAAGTTTTATCAAAACCCAGCATTTATTAGCAAATAATAGCAAATCTGAACTACAGCAAGCCATTGGTTCTCTTGACAGCTAAAAATCTGTAATAACTGCTGCAAAAAAAAAAAAAGGCACGGGCTTGCTTTACCCTTTCATTAAACGTATTTTCTAAAATTACCATCTCCCACTTTGCTAATGCTCATTATGCAGGTAGTCCTCGATTTACGGAGCCCAAAATTTTTGTTGCGAAGCAAGACAGTTATTAGGTTACTTTTGCTCCATTTTACGGCCTTTATTGCCACAGTTGTCAAGTGAATCACTGGGGTAGTTAAGTTAGTAACATGGTTGTTAAATGCATCTGGCCTCCCCACGGACTTTGTCAGAAGGTCACAAAAGGTGATCACGTGACCCCGGGACACTGCAACCGTCATAAATATGAGCCAGTTGCCAAGCGTTTGAATTTTGATCACGTGAACAAGGGTAGAAAACCAGTAATAAGTCGCTTTTTTCAGGGCTGTTGTAACTTCGGTCATTAAATGACTGGTTGCAAGTCGAGAACTACCTGTACACACACACACACACACACACACGCCCTCTCACACACAACTTTCTTGCCAAATATGAACCAGGCCAACAATTTCAACAGCCACTGTAGCTGATCTGAAATGACAGCTTACCAGTGATCTTGTTAAGACGGGCCCTCTTTGCTTGAAATGAGTTGCCTAGACTGTTTTTCCTCTTGTGCGCTAACGCATTCTCCGCCTGTACAAAGGCAATCTTTGGGACATCCACCAGAGGAAATCCTACATAAAAAAAAAAATAGAAGAAGTAATGTATAAGCTCCTTATTTTAAAAGCCCCTCTAAATAAATGTTTACAATATAGCGAACCCCATATGCCAGCGGTGGCGAACCTATGGCACGCGTGCCAGAGGTGGCACTCAGAGCCCATCTGTGGGCAGACGCGCCATAACCCGGAGATGGCAACCATCCCTCTTCAGCCAGCCACCGGCTAACTTGCCGGGGTCCCACATGGCTGGATACATCCCAGCACCCATGCGCTCGCTGGCCTCTGTGTGCGGGGGCTGATGGTGTCAGGCAGCAGCCGCCCCGGCCCCTGCCTTGCCTTGCTCTGTGACAATGGCACCCCCACCCTGCCTCACCTTGCCTCGCCTCATCCTGCAGGACAAGCCTCCTCCCCACTGCCCCACCTGCCAGAAACCCCCTGGATCTCCCCAACCCTGCCCAGCCCCCACAGGTGTCCCTCCCCACGAGCAACATCAAAGTGATCACGCCCACCTTGGCCACACCCACCCAGTCTGCCATGACCACAACAGTCACGCCCACCCAAAGGGCCACGCCCACCTGGCACCCAGCAATAAATAAGTAGGTTTTGGGTTGCAGTTTGGGCACTCGGTCTCTGAAAAGTTCACCATCACTGCCATATGCTAGTATGAGAGAATATTAGAAATCATAATTAAATCTCTGGAGATAATTTTTTTATTAGGGTTGGGCCAAAGATACTGTTCTAAGGCCATAAATTCCAATTCGTCATAAGGCAAGCAAGAGATAAAAACATAAATACAAAAAGCTCAGCCAAATTCCTATCTTTGTTCTTTCTCATCTTTTAAAGGGAGAGTAGTAATAACTTCACAAAGACAGAATTAAAATTTCATCACATCATGCCTGGAACATTCATCCAAGCACATCTCAAAAACCCAGTTAGCATGAAGTGGTATCAGGCAAAACAGACGTTTTTGTGCTTGCAACCTGCTGTTAAACAACTACAACAAGCATATAAACAACTACCATTATAGGATCACAGACCAAGGTAGAGCATTATTGATTAAAACAGGTAGTTCATCATCATCATCATCATCGTAGTAGTAGTAGTAGTAGTAGTAGTAGTAGTAGTAGTAGTAGTAGCAGCAGCAGCAGCAGCAGCAGCAGTAAAAAAGTTGGAAGGGACCTTGGGAGTCATCTAGTCCAACCCCCTGCTCAGGCAGGAAACCCTATACCATTTCAGACAAATGGCTGTCCAGTCTCTTCTTAAAAACTTTCAGTGTTGAAGCATTCACCGCTTCTGGAGGCAGGTTGTTCCACTGGTTAATTGTTCTAACTGTCAGGAAGTTTCTCCTTAGTTCTAGGTTGCTTCTCTCCTTGTTTCGTTTCCACCCACTGCTTTTTGTCCTGCCTTGGAAAATAGCTTGACTCCCTCTTCTTTGGGGCAGTCTCTGAGATACTGGAACACTGCTATCATGTCCCCCCTCATCCTTCTCTTCATTGAACTAGACATACCCAATTCCAGCAACCGTTCCTTATATGTTTTAGCCTCCAGCCCCCTAATCATCTTTGTTGCTCTTCTCTGTACTCTTTCTAGAGTCTCAATGTCTTTTTTACATCGTGGTGACCAAAACTGCAAGTCCTTGACTTACAACCGTTCGTTTAGTGACTGTCTGAAGTTACAATGGCAGTGAAAAAAGTGACTTACGACCAGTTTTCACCTTTATGACCATTGCAACAGCCCCATGGTCACATGACTCAAATTTGGACGCTTGGCAACTGGCATATATTGATAAGAGTTGAACTGGGCCAAGTGATCACCATTTGTAACCTTCCCAGCTGGCTTCTAACAAGCAAAGTCAGTGGGAGAAGCCAGATTTTCTTACCGACTGAATGATTACATTAACAAGGCAACAAAGGACATAAAATGGGGCAAAACTCATTGCACTGTCTTGCTGAGCAACAAAAATTGTGGTCATAAGTCAAGGACTACCTGTAATTTATAGGCCACCCAGAGTTGCTTCAACAGTGAGATGGGCAGCATATAAATTTAATCAAGAAACAAACAAACAAATAGCTATTTTAAAGGAAAACCATGTATACAATAAATATAGCTATACCAAATGTCTCACTGGATGTGGGCTGTTCTTCTTTCTTCTGGACTTTCTGGACCATTGCTGAAGTTGATGTCTCCTCCTTCTTTGAAGGTACTTTGAACCACTTTCTCTCCTCTTTGTCTTTGTTACTGTTTGCGCTCGTCCGTGGCTTAACTCCTGTTTTGTTTTTTGCGGCTGCCACTGCTGCGGCTTTGACCAAAGCTATCCAATCCTTTGAAAGGGGGAGAAAACGAAAGAAAACAACAACCCTCAAATTAAAATCCAGATAAAGGGGGAAATGTTTCATGCTGAAGAATATCTATTTTGAATTTCTAATGTTTCTTGTAAATTGATACTTAAAGATATATCACACACACAGACACACACACACACATACACACAAAGAAACAAGGGTTTGATAACAGGCTAGTTTTATCCTGGGTGCCCAAGCTTCCATTGTAGGAATTAAATGCTGCTAAAAAGTCTAGAATGTTCTATGTCTTATTTGGGCCATGCTAATTGTCATGTTCTAAACAGCTCTTGCTGACCTCTTTAGATTTGGCAAACCGACGTCTAGAAATCACTGAGATCACAGTGTGATCTAGAGAGAAAACAGAATATTGCAGTTTTCTGGAACTTTCCATTTCTGTATGGTAGCTTTCTATACCCCCGTTTATTTGTCTTAACAGTTTTAAGGTTTGACAGTGAAAATCTTAGCAATAGCATCAAGTGCCTTACAAGGCGCTGTATAAAACTGTCCAGGACACCTCCATGCCAGATCTGACTATCTGTGTATCAATTTCAATGGTCTAATTTTGAATCAGGCGTCATCTAGGTTGAATAAATAAATAACATTATTTAACCAAACCTTTACTGTCTTAGGCAGAAATCTTTCCCATTCTTTGAAACGGAAATTTGTGCCAACTCTTTAATTCCAAATACTAACAAATATTTTGCTTGCCAAGGTTAACCTTCATGCCAGGAAAAAAAATAAAACCCTATTAAGGCAACTCTATCATCCATACAGCACTAGTATATCCATTACTAATTTAGCCCAGATTCTTTGGATATCTTTTAAAGGAAAATGTCCAGAACAAGTAGTGAGCTGTTTTCTATTATCTTGTAAACTTTTATAGCCTAAGACTTTAAATCATCTTAACTTTTACGATAGCTGCAGAAATCTGAGAATATCTGTTGTAATTAAAAATCAATTCAGAGCTACACTAATATGCAACAGGCTAGACTGCCTCAGATCTACTGTTTCGACACCCTTCTGCTTTAAGGTGATGCAGACAGTTATGTTTTTCACCTGTGAATTCTAATTTATCTTTTAGGATGTTGACTCTGAAATGCTACATAGGTAACACCTGCACAGATGTACATGCCACATGTCACTCTGATATATATTGGTACATTCTAGAACAGTGGTGGCGAACCTACGGCACGGATGCTAGAGGCGGCACTCAGAGCCTTCTCTGTGGGCACGCGCGCCGTCGCCCCAGTCCTTCAGCTGGCTTTTATAAAATCTTTTTGCTTTAGGCCTCCGCTGCCGTGTGCAAAAAAAGAGGGGGGGTTCAATCAATCAGTGAATTTCAACTTCTCGCGGGGAAAAAAAAACTCTTGCAAAGTTGGAATTGATTCATTGAACTTTTTAGTCCCACCCAGTCTGCCATTCCCACCACAGCCATGCCCAGCCAATGGGCCACGCCCAACCAATAGGCCACACCTAGCCAATGGGCCACACCCACCCGGCACCCGACAATGCATAAGCGGGTTTTGGGTTATAGTTTGGGCACTCGGTCTCTAAAAGGTTCGCCATCACTGTTCTAGAACAAGTCACAAAGTGAACAATACTTAGGGATCATGGAAATAGGCAGAGATCAATATTGTGGGTTTGTCAGATGAACACTTGGCCAGATTTTCTTAAAAAAAAAATCGTATTTTACAAAGCTTTTCAAAAGAAAACTTTATTAACTATGATCAACAGTTACTCTTCCAAGTCAGCCTAGAGTGAGAATTTTCTCATTTGCCTGCTTTCTGAAGTGTTTGTCCTGATTTGTCCAAAAGCAGGACTTGTCAACAATTCATTAAGAGTGGGATGAAATGGTAAATGAAGAGGAACACCACACATCTGCAGATGACATGAAACTGAGTGGGATCAATCACGAAGAAGACAAAAACTAACTGTACGATGACCTTGATAAGCTAGAAAAAGGGGTTGCAATGTAATGAAGGATAAAGGAAGAGGAAAAAATAATAATCAAATGCACAGTAAGAAGGTAGAGGACGTCAGGTTGATGATACTTTTTTGTGGAAAATATTTGTACTTTGAAAATGTAACTAATCACTAGGTGAATATGAATCCCTATGACGTGGCTACAAAAAATTCAAGACCTACAGTAATATACTACAATTCCCAAATCATGTAAAACAATCACATTCAAATATTTGGTCCAATTCTGGACATTTAAGAAAAGGGATTTAGAGACTTTAGAATGATGCCAGGGCTAAGGAAGCTAAGCCTTACAAGGAGAGACTCAGGAAATTAAGCATTCTCAGACTTGATCAAAGATGACTTAAGTCAGGGGTATCAAACTCAATTTCATTGAGGGCCGCATCAGCATTGCGGTTGCCCTCGGGGGGGGGGTGGACTACTGGGTGGGTGTGGATGGAGTGGGTGTGGCCTACTGGGTGGGCATGGCCAGCTCTACATCGTTCGCGTCAAGGGTGCCTGGGCAGGAGTGGGACAGATCTGAAGGTCTCTGGCAGAAAGGGGTGGGGCCGGGGCAAGCGCCAAGGCATGGTCCATTTCTTCATTCCTCACAAAGGGTGACACCTCCCCAGCATGCACCCAGGAGGCGGGGCCGACACAGCAGGGGCTGGTTCCTCAGTGTTTCCAGATGGCCTTGTGGAGCTAAGACTGAATGCGTTTCAGCATAGATGGCCACCACAAAATTGTACATTGGCTCCCGGCCGGCCGGTCTGGGCCCAGGGCTAAGGCAGCAGGGGCCATTCCCTCACTGTTTCCAGGATGGTTTCGCGGGCCACATGAAACCTCTTCGCGGGCCGTATCCGGCCCCCGGGCCTTGTGTTTGACATGTCTGACTGAAGCGAATATGCCTTCAGAAGAGGAAACAGAATATCAAAACCAGTAGTCTATCATCCCAGAGGTATTGGACAAAACGAAGTTAGGTTCGGTTGGATGTTAGGAAAACTTTCTGTAATGTGACAGTGGAATCAATTACCAAAAGAGGTAACTTGATAGTGGAATCAGTTCTAAAGAGGGGAATGACTTCTCTTTCATTGGATGTCTTCAAATACAGGCAAGGGAGACATCTGTCATGGATGCTTTATTCAGAATTCCTATACCGTGCAAATAATTGGATTCATTGGCTTAACTGAAAATTTCCAACTATAGGATTCTATCCTATGTACATTAAAACCCACAAAAGTGTAAAGATTATGACTGCAGCTCTACATTTGCACTCAAAGTCTGACAAATCTGCACGCATGCATGAAAAAAATGCATTTTACCTTCTGCAGTAAAATCAATCTTACACAAAGGTTCAGAAAAAAAAGGAAACTTTTTGATTTCTTCTAAATTAATATGCAAATTTGCACCTTCCTAAAAGAAGTATTTATCAAACTTGGATGATTTGTCAACTGAATTTAATCACTATTATCCCATCTATTTCAATCGTATCAGTAGGATAGCATCTTCTGTGTGTATATAAAACTGCCGATTTACATCCAACAAACTATGTGTATTATAGGTTAATTCTCTATTGTTAGGTTCTGTTAAACATTCTAAGTTATTTTTTCACTTTGGAGAACTGCCATCTCGGACTTCAAACGATCCAAACGGTTACCTCAGAACCATTATGAGCGCTTCCTACATCCTCAACAGATCTGCAAACATTTCTTTGCGCTGGATGAAATTTCTCAGAGCCCTACCTTATAATTTTACAGCTTTAAACATGAGCAAACAAGACTAAAATATTATTCCACCACCTCTTAAGTTCCTAGCTCCACCAATGATTTCTTGAGCAACTACAGGTAGTCCTCGACTTACAACCGTTTGTTTAGTGACCGTTCGAAGTTACAACAGCACTGGAAAAAAAAGTGACGTAGGACCATTTTTCACAGTTACGACTACCGCAGTCTCCCCAGGGTCACATGATCAAAATTCCGAGGTTTGGCAACTGAGTCACATTTACGGTGGTTGTAGGGTCCTAAGTTACGCAATCACCTTTTGTGACCTTCTGATAAGCCAAGTCAGTGGGGGAAAGCCAGATTCGCTTAGTGACTGCGTTACCAACTTAACAACTGCAGTGATTCGCTTAGCAGCTGTGGCAAGAAATGTTGTAAGATGGAGCAAAACTCACTTAGCAACTGTCTTGCTTAGCAACAGACATTTTAGGGCCAACTGTGGTCATAAGTCAAGGATTATCTGTTATAAACCATACTCATTTTCGGATGGGATCTTAGTCACCTCTACAGACAGCCCACCTGAAGCATTATTCACTCGTGGACTGATGCTCTCACCTTCCAAGGCTCTACCACAGCTCTGCCCTCTCTCTCTCTCTCTCTTAGATCTCTTCCACCTACATTGCCACCTCTTCTGCTGGTCTTGGCCACATCAGGTTTTCGTGGTTTCTCCTCAGCTTCTGCTTCCTGTGTGCCAAGAACCCTCCCTCTCCTTCCACAATCCCACAAAACTCACTTCACGTGGCTCGTTATCCGTCACTAATCTCAGCTCCGGTGCTATCTGCTGCCTCTCGCGCGCCTAATCGTATCGAAGATAAAACACAAAGATGGAAACAAAAAGACAAGTTATCACACACAGGCCTCTCAATGGGATGACTCCATTCACCAGTCTTCCGCCATTTCTTGCCCTCCCAACGCAACAGTTTTAGCCAACAACAGCCTCAGATCTGCGAAACTGTGGCGGCCAAGATCACATTGGTATCGATCTATGTTGTCTTTGTCTCTGCTGGCAGTCAAGGTTTATAGTCAGCCAAGTTTAATAAATAAAGACTACCTCAAGGCTAGAAAGCAGACACATATAAAACAATGGCTCATCCCTACAAATTATGCAACCTGCTATAACATCTAAGATAAAGGAGATAAGCGTTGGCATTTTATTTTGTTATACTGATTTGTGTGTAATCTGTATTCATTACACAACACTAAACTGCTTGGTATCTCAGAAGCTCAAGTAAGAATACCTACAAATGGCTTTAAAAAAAAAACACAGCTGAATTAAATAAGCATGCGTTGTAAAGACTAAACATTCACATGTGCACATGCACACACGTGCACTAAGTATGTTTCAAAAGATTAAAATTTCTATACCGCTCACCATATTCTGCAGGATACAAATGTATCTAGTAGTGGTAAAAGTATATTTGACAGTTAATTAGCACATTCCATCTAAATGAGGCGGGGAATTGCATTTCTTCTGAAAAATCTCACTAAGCATTATTTTCATAGCTCAGGCAAAAATTCAGAGATAAAAGCAGCAAGTAGTCTCTTTACGGGCATAGCAGTTGATAATAGAGAAACTTTGTAGTCTTATTTCTATAAGTTTGCAAATGTTAAATATTCGGTTACTTTAGGGTTCTTGTTGTGGTTTGCCCCAAAAACCTACAGCATAAAACAGGGGCCTTCAAACTTGGCCCTTTTATGACTTGTGGACTTTAACTCCAAGAATTCCTCAGCCAGTATGCCACTCTGGCTGAGGAATTCTGGGAGTTGAAGTTCACTAGTCATAAAAGGGCCAAGTTTGAAGACCCCGGTATGAAACGTCCCATATATCCTTTTCAAGTATATTATGAATAAGCATTTTTACATTCAGGTTTTATTCTACACGTAGTCCTTGACCTACGGCCACAATTTAGCCCAAAACATTTGTTGCTAAGTGAGACAGCTGGTAAGTGATTTTTTTCCCCCATTTCATGACCTTTCTTGCCACAGTTGTAAAGTGAATAACTGCCATTTGTTAAGTTAGCAAAACTTAACGGTTGTTTAAGTGAATTCGGCTTCCCCAGTGACTTTGCTTGCCAGAAGGTCGCAAAAGTGGATCACGTGACCCTGGGACACTGAAACTGTCGAAAGTATGAGTCAGTTGCCAAGCTTCTGGATTTTGTTCATGTGGCCAAGGGAATGCCGTAATGGTTGTAAGGGTGAAAAATGGTCCTCACATGGACTGTTGTAATGCAAGGACTACCTGTGTTATATTGTAAGAATAGATTTTTCAGGTTAAGCAACTCATTTCTAGATACTGTTTCCTGAATCAGTATATTTTTTCCTTACATTATATACATTATATAGTCCATACATTATACCTGGCATCAAGCTTGTTTATCAACTCTAAGTAACTCTTTTTTCACTCTGTTCCCCATCCTACAACTCAGGCAAGCATGCCATCCTGACTCACCCTCAATCATGAAAAAAAAAGCCAACACAGTGCTAGGCTGTATTAACAGAGGGATAGAATCAAGATCACGTGAAGTGTTAATACCACTTTACAATGCCTTGGTAAGGCCACACTTGGAATACTGCATCCAGTTTTGGTCACGACGATGTCAAAAAAGATGCTGAGACTCTAGAAAGAGTACAGAGAAGAGCAACAAAGATGATTAGGGGACTGGAGGCTAAAACATATGAGGAACGGTTGCTGGAATTGGGTATGTCTAGTTTAATGAAGAGAAGGACGAGGGGGGACCTAATAGCAGTCTTCCAATCTCTCAGGGGCTGCCCCAAAGAAGAGGGAGTCAAGCTATTCTCCAAGGCGCCTGAAGGCAGGACAAGAAACAATGGATGAAAACTGATCAAGGAGAGAAGCAATCTAGAACTAAGGAGAAACTTCCTGACAGTTAGAACAATTAACCAATGGAACAACCTGCCTCCAGAAGCGATGAATGCTCCAACACTGGAAGTTTTTAAGAAGAAACTGGACAGCCATTTGTCTGAAATGGTGTAGGGTTTCCTACCTGAGCAGGGGTTGGACTAGATGACCTCTAAGGTCCCTTCCAACTTCATTATTATAACTAAACAACTCATTTGATATTTTCAACGAGGGCGTGCTTGAAGATTGCAAAACTGTGTTATTTTAACGTTATCGTCAAGAAATAGTCTCTGAGCTTCTAAGGCCATTTTTGGAATTGTCAATTCATACTACCATCCGGGCTAATGGAGGATCTTCTCTGAGAATCACTGCCCAAAACAGTGGCTACTAAAAGGGAGGAAAAACAATCCACCAAACTATAATATTCCTCCTCGGGGAAGAGTTTATCTTCCATTTCGCATCTCAATGGATTTCTTCCAAAAAGTTACTTTTACGTCAGCTTTATTTTGACTTTTGCTGCCGCTGCTCTTCCTTTTTATACATCTAACCAGGCTAAGAGCGTACAGGTAATCCTCAACTTACAACAGTTTGTTTAGGGATCGACCACAATTACAATGGCAGTGAAAAAAAGTGTTTTGTCCCAGCCTATGTGAGTCCTTGTTAAATCACAAGGAGAAACCCCTCTTCCAACAAGCAGGCTGGAACCACAGGGAAAAAAACCAACCAAACTTTTATTATTCACAGACTGAGTCTATGTCCAAGGCAAACAAACACAGTTCCCTTTTATTATGCAGCCAAGGCGTGGCTTCCTAATGCCTTCTCCTTTGCCTTTGGAGCCGCCCCATTGCATTCCTCTGTCCTACTCGCTTCTCTTGCCTGCGCTTTCGTGCATCCGGGATTTGTCTCAGCTGTTTTTCATCACTGCCCAACTCAGGCACCCAGCACAGCTGTTTCTCAGCCTGAGTGCGAGTAGAGAGGCCAGGCTCCTCGTCCAACTGAAAGTCTTGGAGCTCCTCAGAGCCTTCCTCTGACTCTGTTGTCACTCCAGGCCCCTCCTCCTCCTCCTGATTCCTCAGACTCAGCTACCAGGTCCACTGGTTGGCGAGGAATCACAACAAAAATGACTTAAGAATGCTTTTCACACTTATGACCATTGGTGCATCCCTATGGTCAAGTGATCAAAATTCAGACACTTGGCAACTGGCTCATATTTATGACGGTTTACAGTGTCCTGGCATCACTTGATGCCACCTTTTGCGACCTTCTAAGGCAGTGGTGGCGAACCTATGGCACGGGTGCCAGAGGCGGTACTCAGAGCCCTCTCTGTGAGCACGTGCACCATGCCCCAGAGATGGCAACTGTCCCTCTTCAACCAGCCACCTGCTAACTCGCCGAGGTCCCACGTGGCCGGATGCATCATGGCACAGCTGGTTTCCCTCACACAAACCCGTCCCATCCCTCCTGATCTCGCATGCTCTCCTTTTCCCGGGCACGACCCACTGCATCGCCTCCTCAGCTGTCAGCAGGCCATCCAGCTCAGAGGTGGCTTCTTTGAACTGCTGGCGGCAGGCTGTGGAGCCCCAGAGTGCACCAGTTGAGGGGCCAGCAGGCTGTGGCTGTTGGATACTGTCGGCCCCCATGTGCTTGTTGGCCTTTGTGTGCAGGGGCCAATGGTGTCAGGCAGCAGCCGCCCCAGCCCTTACCCTGCCCCATGGCAATGGCACTCCCACCCTGCCTCGTCTCACCCCGCAGGATGAGCGTCCTGCCTACCGCCCCACCTGCCAGAGACCCCCTGGATATCCCCCAACCCTGCCCATCCCCCACCGACATCCCTCCCCACGAGCAAGACTGAGGTGACCATGCCCACCTTGGCCATATCCACCTAATCTGCCATGACCACCACAGCAATGCCCACCCTGTGGGCCACATCCACCTGGCACCTGGCGATAAACAAGTGGGCTTTGTTTGGACATTCGGTCTCTAAAAGGTTTGCCATCACTATTCTAAGGAGCAAAGTCAATGGGGAAGCCAGATTCACTTAACAACCTTGTTATTAACTTAACAACTGCAGGGATTCACCTAAGAACTGGGCAAGAAAGGCTGTAAAATGGGGGGAAACTCACTTAACTAATGTCTCACTTAGCAACAGAAACGCTGGACTCAATTGTGGGCATAAGTCAAGGATTACTTGTATTTCCAGCTGGACAGTGAAGTCCACTGAATATTCTCCTGTCATCTCCAAAGCAGCAACAGATTTTGAAAGGTCCTCAGCGAGGTTTCAGCAATGAAGAAGACACGGATGGAAACTAATCAAGAAGAGAAGCAATTTAGAATTAATGAGAAATTTCCTGACTGTTAGAACAATTAATCAGGGGAACAATCTGCCTCCAGAAGTTGTGAATGCTCCAACATTGGAAGTTTTTAAAGAAGAGACTGGACAGCCATTTGTCTGAAATGGTAGGTTTCCTGCCTGAGCAGGGGGTTGGACTAGAAGACCTCCAAGGTCCCTTCCAACTCTGATATTCTGTTATTCCGTTAAGTCATAAGCCTGGGGCACTACTTCTCTGGCCCCTGACCTGGTCAATGCTGCTTCAGGGATAGCAGCCCCAAAGGTTCATTCCTTCTGTATCTTTCCTTAGCAGGCAGCAATGGTTCTTTTGGATTCATAATTTGTGACCAGCGCTTTAGACTTCCTTAGACCTTTTTCCCCTGAATCCAAGGCAAGCTGATCGGTTAGCATTTATTCTCATCTGCTGGGCATGGATTTAAGAAGGAACTGTGCACACAGAAAGACACAAGTTCATGAATTTTATGCCAGGAATTCATCCGAGGAATCTAAATAAACTTTACAAGATTTCTCATGGACATTCTGAATATTGTAACACTTTGCTAAAAAAATAAATTTTTGGATTTGGAGCTGGCTTCTCAAACAGAAG